CAACCAATCTCTTTTCATTTCTGCTGCCTTTTGTGGAAGCTCTGTGGATAGTTTGCAAGATACTTTACAAATGAGACTCATAAAATAGCTCCTGGTATATTACCCTACACATAGTCTACACCCTCAAGGTGTGTAAAGCGAGATCTTGGTTAACAAATCCATAAATGATAGGAGATGAAAAACAAATACTATTCTTAAAGTTAAGATCCAGGCCTAATACTGTATTTTTTGACTTGGTCATTTTAATAGCTACTTATAAAGTTTACCAAATTCTGAAAGTTGGATCATTTTCCCGGTACCATAAGCACTGTCTACAGGTAATGTAGTTTATGTCACATTACTCTCCTTGTAACAGGGAATCATTTTATAGTTTGCAGTTGATTTTTTGAGATGCAAAAATTTAGTAACTTGTAGGATAATGGTTGAGGACTGCAATCATCACTAGGCAAGCATCATAAACATGTTTTTAGCATGGAAATAACTGAGCTTATTCAGGAATGACTTCCCAGCTTGGAAGTTCTGCTTGAAAAAGAAATTGGTATAATAGGATGGAGTATCATACTCTAAAGGCTGAAATTTTGGAGCACCTATGAACTACACTATTTTTGAAAATGTAAGAAAATGAAGTGTTTTATACAAATTTTTTAAAAAATAGTTATCCCACTACTGTTTTATTCTTTATCTGAGGAATCCCACACCTACCTATCTTTTCTTGCTTTTTAAAGAGTTGTCTTTCTATATTGGGGTTCATATTTTTATGTGTAAAACTTTGAAAATTCACTCACACATTAACTGATAAAGTACATGTTCTTCAAATGCACAGCTAATTTTCTGAATTAAAGATAACTGTTTGCTGGAATGACATATCTAATGCTTATGTTTTTATTTGTATGGAAAAAAGTTTATTATTAAGTAACACTATTAAGATTGCTTTACATCCAATCCAAAAAACTGACTAAAAATTATTTGAACCATTAAAATTGGGGTAATAAATAGGAGTGATGACATACTTAATAGAAAAAAAGACTCTTTTTATTCTGAGTCCAGCAGAAAGCTCAGATTCTGGAAGATATTCACGAATTTATTGACTGCATGGATTTCTGTTCATCAGATTTAGTGCATGTGTCAGGTAGAAGGAGTTCTAGAAATGGGGAGCTATGAAATACTTACATAAAATGATACCATGTAAATCAGATGTTATATTAATAAGAACATAAGTTAAAGGTTTTCATTTTAAATAACTTCTTTACTAAAACAATATACCAATATCCCAAACTTATGTCTATGATTTATCTATTTTGTCAACATTGTGTGTAGATAAGAATAAAATTTACTATTTATCAAATTGAAAGGTGACATGTAATTTCATAAGCTTAGGTTTATAAAGATAGTTGTATACTAAAATTACAAGTCTTTAACTGAAACTTGCTCTCTACAATTACAGTTTTTAGAATACTAATACTACATGATAACTTTTTGGTAAAACTTCCTGTAAACTATTCTAGATATTTAATAGAAGTATTTTGAATGACCAGAATAATATATTTCATTGTATGAGCTTTCAACTGGTTAATTTTGGCCTCCATGTTAACAGTTAGACTAACATCTAATTATTTTCACAAAATGCATACTCATGATTGCCAATTTTTCCATGACTAACTATACACAAACAGATGTTTTTGGGTTCTGCTGAGTCACAGTTTTCTTTCCAGAACTCTATGTTCCCACTCCTAATTCCCTCGGGCCTTTGTTATACTTTGCCTATACCTGATTGCTTGGTAGGATGGACCATTTTGTACGCAGGCACACAATAGTATTAGTATTACATGAATTACTCTCAATTTCACTTACCATCATAAAGCTTAGCCTGTCCCTTTCCTAAGGAGATATATATTATGTGCAATTTATTTTAAAAAGTCATTAAGCCTTTCTGTGCAAGAAAGCTATCAACAGTCTCATCATATGACTGGAAATATTCTGAATCATCCTAGAATACAGCCTTTTTCAAAAATGCCAACCAAATCCCAAGCTTCTGCATTTGTTTTCTGCTCTTCAGCTCCCTGTCTTTCTGTTTAGATTTTCTGGCTGTAACAAGGAGCATTCATCACTAGTTAGGACAGCTGGAGATTACTGTCAAGCAATGCCTGACAACCCATAATGGAATGGCATTTCCTTATCAATCTGTATATTATAGAACACACATGTCCCTGCCCCTAGACAGAAAAACTTCAATGACAAATTTCATTTTCTCAAATGCCAATATTTGCATAGTTCCACAAAGTATTCATTAATTCAAAACACTTTAAGAGCCTAATATGTGCTGGTAACGGTGCAAAGGGTTGAGAGATATAAAGAACAAACACAGTCCTTATTCCTCCAAGGAGCTCTAGTGAGAAGACAAAGGATAAAAAACACAATTGAAAGCAAGTGAAGTAGCCAGTGGAGTGGGGTTGGTGAAATTGACAAGGAGCACCACAGAAATACAGAGGAAGGGCTGCAACACTGGGACTCCTCATCAAGCACATTTCATCACTGATTATGCAAAGTCAATGCAACCCCTTCTACATGTCTCCATGCATGTATGTTTCCAAGAATAACCATCAGGCTGTTTCTACTGGAGTACAATAAGTTCCCTAAACTGCAAGTATTTTTTTAGACCAACTGTACAGCATTATGGAGAGCCTATGGATGAATAAATCAATCAGTTAATGTCAACCTGATTTCCAAATGCTGGGAATAGAAGGAAGCATGGTCATGGAAAGAAACTCCTGGGGTCAGAAAAGTTTAGGCACTCAGATCAGCTGGCCCCAGGATCCGAATCTGTAAAAGGGGTCTGAGAGTCCCCGTCCAGCCCTCTGATATTCTAAGAGATCATTAAAAAGGAACAATGGGTTAGGCCAATCTGATCATCATTGTAATTTAGGACCTGTTCAAACTGTCAGAGTCTTCAAGATGTATCACATAGGAGGGAACTGTGATAATTACTAAGGTCAACATTAATGAAGGGAATTTTAAAAATGTGGAAGGTTATTGAATAATTTTAACAGTCATTTTGTTTGAACTGTGCAAAATATCAACAGTGAAATTTTAGGAATGTACTTTTAAAGGTGCCAAGCAGCAGCTGATCTAGAAACCATCTGGGGACAGTCTGATCAAGGAGGAAGAAAAATCGCTATGAATTATAGCCAGTCTTCTTGAAAATAGCCATAGTTTTTAGCATTTTTCAGATCTTGAAGAAGTTCATTCCACACTTACTCAAAAACCTATGTAAACACCCAACAAATTCCTCTTCTGTGACTGATAGCTTTAATGGGCATGCAAAATAAATATTCATCTAAATTTATCAATCTTTAAGGCACCTGTTGTCTCACAATCTAATGTTAAACATATTTTCCTTATCAAATTATTGATTTTGATATTACTTAAAGCCCTAAAGATTTCAGGTCAGTCAGTGGCTCCAAATGAATCAATTATTCTGTAGAAGCAGCAGTAATGCCTTCATTGAAGTGTCCTTTTCTCCTAGCTCTCTTCAATCCCAGAGCACAAAGAATCACACTCCAGGTGAGGCTAAAGATTATCTGTTAGGTAAAATGACTCAGGTCAAAGACTGCAGAAAGGATTGCATGACTCCATTTTGTAAATGCAACAAACCTTGTGGGTTTTAGAGTTGGGAGAAGCTCAAAGGGGAAACCAATAAGTGCAGCTTTCATCCTCCAGGAAGGAATGGCTACAAAAGCTAAACCTGGTTGTGCTATTTCAATTCAGGCAAAGGGAGAAGGTAAAAAATTTGCAAAATTTTATCTTTAAAAATGAGTGTAATTCTATGGCTCCATAGCATCTGAAAATGTTTACATAGTAGGCACTATAATGTGAGGCTGATTTGGGTTGTGGGGGAAGTTGGGAGAAAGAAAAAGCAAACGCCACTCGCCCCCTAAAAATCCTCCAGTCTGTCTTGACCAACTGTAGAGTATTAATAAATAAATGAAAGGAACTATTTTGACAAGACTTCTTACAGCGCCACTCAGTAATGTTAAGAATTAACATTCTCTTTCTGGACAACTTGACAGCAAAGTCCAGAAGAGGAAGCCAGAAAATAATTCAGGAAAAAAAAAAAAAGCTTAAAACGAGCAACATAAAAGTCTGATTATGATTTTTAATTTCATTTTTTGGTTCCTCTACACTTGGCAGAACTAACCCATTCCCACAACTGTGTTCTTCAATGCGAAGACAATCATTTCTGGAGCGACAGAGCTGCAGATGTCAGGCTGGAATAATCCCAGAGGCAAACTGCCAGGTTTGGGGCAGCTTCCTCGGTCACTACTCCGAATGCTCAGGCTTGCGCTTGGGCTACCTGCGGGCCTGTGGTCAGCGCGTATCGCTGCAGACACCTGCATCAGCAGCTCCTTAACACCACGCGACCCGCGCAAAAGGTCCAGTAAAGAAGGAAAGACACCCCACTGAGGGCGAGGGGCCCGTCTGGCAACGCCCTTACTTGGCTGTAGATTCTGAGGCTTAGCCCCAGGTAGGCAAAGCGCCGAGAAAATGCTCAGTTACCGAGAAAATGCCCCTGCCGGAACCGGTACTTGCTATTCAATTGCCCGCCCGCCGGGACAGCACCGTTATCACCCAGTGGAAGGAAAGTGTCCCTTTCCTTCGCCTCGAGAGCTCCTTCCAGTGCGCCCCCTCTTGCGTCCCCACCGATCTGCTGCCCACTCAGGCTGCACGTCCGGGTGGCCGGTCTGGGTGGCCCCGGGATCTGGGAGCTGGGGAGCTGGGGCGCCGGGTTCCGCTCAGCACCTGGAGTCGCCAGAGGTCGCCCCGCAGCTGCACACTCGGAGGCGCAGTTGAATCACGGGTGAATCACCCCTTGCAGGGTCTTGGAGTTTCCTACGAGAGGAGGCGGGACAGGGGAGTGGATTAGCCGGGGGCCGCCCACCACCAGGCGAGTGACCAGCTGGGGGCGGGGAGTCGGGAGGAGCGCGCGGGGGCGGGCGCCCGGGTCCGGAGGCAGGCGAGGGCGTCGCTTGGGCCCTATAAAGCGCACGGGGCACCGGCTTCCCCAGACTCGGGTTCTCCGCGCCCCTTCCCACTCCCTCTAATCTCCCTAGGGCGCCTCTAGCCCAATCTCCCCAGCTTCTGGGGCGCACCAGAATCTTTCTGATATTACCTCCGGCTCGTGGACATGGCAACCCGGGTGTCCTGCCTCGAGGTTGCTCGCACGCTCCTGCTCGCTTGGGTCCTGGTCCAGGTCACCGGTGCCGCAGGTAAGTGGCACCCGCCCTTGTAAGGCCTGGGGCGCGCTGTCCGGAGAAGGGGGGGACTGTCCTGGCGCGAAGTGGGCTCACCCTGTTGCTGGGAGGTGTCGCCTGCACCCGCTTACGCAGCTGGGTTTGAATGAACGCCGGCCCCTGGGAGCTGAGGCAGGGGGTGAGGGTTGGTCGTTCGTGCCCCTTAGCGCCTTCTAGAGATGCTTGCTTGGGGCATGCATTGTGGTTGCATAATTTGGCTCCAGTTTAAATTTAAGGAAAGATCTTACAAGTGAGCCCCGTGCGGCCTTGAAGATGGTGGAACATGGGTCTTCATCTGCATGGGTCGGCGTGCAATGGTTTGGATCTTATCCTTTGCTACGTGTGCCCTTTCCTTGATAAAGAGCAGCCTCAGTCTCTTCCTCATGGACTGTTTTTGATCTCGATCAGGTTAGAGGCAGCCTGTTGCAAAATGTCCCCTGGATTGGAGCAGGCACCACATTGTGGGTGCCCCATATGCCTGTTAGGTGTGTGGCACTGGGCAGACTGACCTCCTGAGTGTTGGCAAAGCGCACCTTAATAATGAAGCACCCTAACATAATAGGAAATTAGGCTTTCACAATGTCTCCCTGGGTCACTTGAGTAGTTTCACTATGAAAATGGAAACAAGTCAAGATGTGTGGCTTTTTCATTGTATGCAGTCCTCACTCTTCTCACCCATGTGGGATTTGCCCTTTTCCCTAATATTCCGAAACCTCTTCCTAGCCAGACACCCTTGCTCTCCTGGGATGGGCTGAACTTCCAGGGGGAGTTATCACAGGGCTCCCCTATGAACAATTCAAACAAATAAGGGTCTCCAAATCCTTGTCTAGCTCCTTCGACTGCAAGGTAGACCTAGCCATGAGGTTTCTAGACCCAGAACTTCCAGAACTTCTTTTCTCTAAAAAGTTCAGCAGTAAAGCTTTTGTGGTGGACACAAAATAGATGTGAGATCTGTAGTGACAGGAGACGGGAAACTGTTTTATATCATCATTGTGAAATCACATGCTGAGCAGTTCATGTAATAACAGACGAATTTCTGTTGTTTAAAGGCACTGAAGACATAGCGGTAGCATATAATTTAACTTGGAAATCCACTAATTTCAAGACAATTTTGGAGTGGGAACCCAAACCTGTCAATCACGTGTACACTGTTCAGATAAGGTAAGCAACATATAAAAAATAAAAGAAAGAAAATTAGGGTTTTTGATGTTTCTATTTTTCCTGTGCCGATTACAGATGTCTTTAAAGCCGATTAGTGGGTGATATTTAACAGATGACAGAGAGGGCATTGATAGTAATTTGCTGGCAGAGCCATGCTCTATCAAGGCTGCAACCTTTCTAGACCTTAAGCTGATAAAATTTTTTATTTGTTTATGGAGGTGATGGGAAAATTAATAAGCAGAGTATAAGCTGCTAAGAGTGAACCTTTCTGAGCAGGCCCTGGCGGCACTGATGGCTGTGATGCAGGCTGGCTGAATGACAATTTCATCTAAGCACACCCAACTTTTCCTTTCCTACTGTCTAGCCAGTGAGCCCAGTTGAAACATGTGAGGGCAGAGGTGGGGAGGAGTTTGGGTATATACATTGCCCTTCAGCGGTTTTTGATTCATTACATTTAGACTCCATGATTCAAAGTTTAGTTATGTACATGATCAGAGGAGATCAAATCATGACTCAGTAGCCAGGAAGAAATACTCCTGAGTCTGCACCCTGGGTGGCAGGGATGCTCTGCTCCTCCAGCCTCATCTCTGATTGACAGGAGCCTGTAATTCCCCGCGTTCAATCTAAGCATCCTTGTGTCTATCTTGATGGTTTTCACCAGATCATGGGCAAGTGTTTGTTTTCTGAAATGTTCTCGGAGGCTTGGTAGCAATCTTATTAAATAGGAGACTGTGGCTGTGGCTGTTCTTTAACAATAATTGTATGAAGGAACAAAAGTATCACTGGCTAAAATTAATAGTGTTTGTTTTAGCTTTGGGCGAGTCCTTCATAGCATTAAGGAGTGCAGCTACCCACAGACGGAGTGTGTCTTTTAGGTAGACATTCTTGTTTCTAAAAATGAACTTCATGATGACCGTTGCCAAGCCAACAGGGGAGAGAATTTGTGTACATGCATACTTGTGCAGATAGGGAAAGAAGGAGAGAAAAGAATTTCATAACCCAAGGTACAAATTGTGATTTTGGTAAAACTTGTCATTGAGAATCATTAATTCTTGTGATAGAGTGCTGAGGTTTACCTTAGTAAACACGTCCCTTCTAGATAGTTAAAAATAAGGTTATAGGAGAAATGCTTACCTCCTAAATGTATCCGATCGTATTTGGGGTGAACTTATGGAAACCTATCTTGATTTTTAAATATAAACTTTTGTTAACTTTAAGTTTTCGGGTTTTCCAAGGCTGCTGAAATTGGAGGAGGGCCCCTGATATGCTAACATCCTAGAGCGAGCTGCTGCTTGCGGAACCTGGGGTGGAGGCGTGATCCTGCTGAGCTAGCGGTCTCTGCACACTCTCCCCAGTGTGCTAGAGGATTGGTGAGCAGTCCCTCCGCCCCTGCTGGAGATCTGCACTATCTCCTTCCTCTCCATGGGTTAACAGGATTCTTGGGTGAAAAGGGCCATAGCTTGTATTTTATAGAAGAAGAAACTTGCCCAGGGAAGGACATGGATTTATTCATAGCTACACTAATGGTCAGCACTGTTTGGACCAAGGTCTCTCCAGTAACCCACACCATCACCTTCTCGGGTGGGCTTGCCACAATCTGAGACCCCCACAGACTGGAGAAGGAAGGAAAGCATTCCCACTACAACACTCCTCCTGGTTTTCCTTCCCTGGAGAAAGCATCTTAACCTGCTGCTCCCTTCTGCACCCACCCAGCCTCGCCGCCATCCTATTTCCAGCAACCAGGTGCCACTGCTGTCCCCTAAGCCCCTGATGTCAACTCCAGCTACATTTTCCCCTTTGGAAACAGTTTTCAGTGGTGCTGGGGAAGCGTGATTGGCTCACGCCTTAGCACCCACCATCACTGTAATGTTGGTTCTGTGGGAAATATTCTGAATTCTAAAACTGAACTTCCAAAACTTCTAGAAAACAACCTCTTCCTAAACTGGTGAATCTGAACTCTGTTAGAATGTTTTAGTACTTCAGGTAGGACGTCTGTGTTGTCCAAATCAGATTTTGCAATACCTAGAGGAATCTTGAAGGCATTAAATTGTTAATGCTGGTAGTAGCATGTAGAGAAACTTACTGTAGAATTGCCCCTTCTTTACCTGTTCACAAGACTCTTCTACTTTTGAAGATACAGGTGCTTGTGCTGAAGTTTGCCCCAAAGCACTGTGTTTCCCACATACAGGCTGGGAGGAACCGCATGCCAGCCTCTCAGATGGAATGCAACCTTGCCAGTCCTGTTACTGGAACTCCTTGTTTGCCATAGCAATGGAGAATCATCATGGGCTTATTTACTTTTTAAAAAGAAGTAATATGATTTTTAAAATGCATTTTTGGTCATTCTGGAATTAAGATCACCTCTCTATTTTTATCACAGAAAATGAAAGGAATCTAGGAAACCAGAATATTTCCTTATCAATCTTAGTTTGTGAATTTTAAGGCAAAGAGCATATATCCTAGCCTGGTTATCCAGTTCAGAGTTTAAGGAAATCTGAATGTAAGACTCAAGGGCGTGGATATAGACAGTTGGCTCCACATAGCAGCTTGTTTCTCCCCATTCAGCCTGTAAATGCGGACCATCTATTTATTACTCAGCAAGGCTGGCTATGTAAGACACCCTGCTGCTTGATGGGGGAGCACAAGTCCTGGGCCCCGGTACCAAGCAGACCATGTTCACATGAACTGCTTTAATGGGCTCAGTGCTGGGCCCAGGGAAGCGGGTCATCCATTCTAATCAAGTTGCTCTAGAGGCCCCTGGGAAGGTGGGATTAATGTGTGGCCCTGAGTCTTAGCAGTCAGTGATGCTGCAGGCAAGAGGGGGTAGCTGTCACTTTACAGGGGACAGAAGAGTGTGGCTAAAGTTGCACTGACATTTATCTATGGGCTGACCGGTTTTTTAGAATAATTTCATTTTTAATAGATGTTCTTTAAATCATTTCCTCATTCATGACATCTTACAAAAGAAAGATTTGTGTTTTAGCCCCCTTAGTCTGTCAGACTTTGTTAGGAAGATGCCATCTGTGCCATATGTTATTCCGTAATCTTTGATTGATGGGATGTGGACACATCTTGTAAAATTGAGGGAGGCACGTCTTATAATTTGATGAAAAGACTCGACACTCACATTCACGAACGGTGTGACCTTGTACAAATTACTTAATGTTTCTGAGCTTCAACTGTCCTCACGTGTCAAAAAGACCCAACACATACTTGCTAGGATTATATCAAATAAACAAATGTGTGAAGGGCCTGGTACTGTGCCTGGAGTATAATAGATTCAATAAAAGTGAAATAACCACGTGACTAATGATCATGCTAGAAGGTAATATATAGAATATATTATTATATAGACTTTATGATTACTCCATTGACTGTATCCTACAGGGACTGTAGAATGTGATATGAAAAACAGAATATGATATAATACAATGAGTAGACAATAATAATTAATTGGGCTTTGCTGGAGGATGGTCTTTCTCCCATGTAACCATGATAAATCATCAGCTTTTTAAAAAAGATATTTTACAAAATGGTTCAGCAACTACCACAGTCAAACTTCTGTCTGGTTCAAAATCCAGCAGTGTGACTTAAACCTGGTCACTTTGTCTCACTTTGCCTTGGTTGCCTTCTCTGTAAAAACAGGGATCACTCCAGAACCACCCCAGGTTGCTGTGTGGACTCACATGTCTCTGAAGTGCTCAGTATAGCAAATGCCGGATTGGGAGTGGTTGTGGGCACCTGTGTATACCCAGTAGCACAGCCAGAAAGGATCCACCTTGCTGGATCACATCATAACATTCCACTTCTCCTCCTTCCTCGCTTCCTCTAGCCGTCCATTAGGAGACTGGAAAGGCAAATGCTTCTCTGTGACAGAAACAGAGTGTGACCTTACTGATGAGATTGTGCAGGACGTGCATCAGACATACTCGGCTCGGGTCCTGTCCCACCAGGTAGACGCCACCTCTTCTACTGGGGAGCCTTTGTTTACCAACGCCCCACAGTTCACACCTTACCTGGAGAGTAAGTAGCTCGGTTTGTAATGATTTTCATTCTTGTGGTTGTAAGCTTCTGAATATTCTTGTGAGCTTGTGACCCTTAAGGACCATTAGGTAACAAATATTTACCCATAAACACATCTTTCTCAAACTGGTATATGCACATTCACTTTACTCATTCCAGACATGGTAAGAGGATCACAGAACATGAATTTGGAGTTGATAACAGTAACTTTCTGTTTCTGTCCAGGGACCCTACCAATAACCAGATGGACGTGGAATTGGGGAGCAGGAAATCCACCAAGGCTGGGGTTTCACCATCTCCCCATATATCTACACACACACACACATGCACACACACACATACACACACACATCCTGAATTTTCCTTCAGGTCAACAGACCAGAAGTCATACCTAGTTGAGGGTTTTCACAAATCCCAAATCGTGGGCAAAGTTCACTCCCTCTGAGAACATTATTGGGCCTGCTGACCTTTTCAACCATTTGACCATGATTTGAGTCCCATGATGTGCTGGCACTTGCCAAGCCAGCTCCCTGCCTCCTTCCTTTATGCTGGTTTTGAGAATGTGGAATGCTTTCCTCCCCAGCCTTTGCCCCAGTAAGCTGACCTTAGTATCTAATAAAGGAATGCGCAGAATTCCTGCCAAGTAGAAGATTTCAAATTTTTTTTGAGGTGGGGGGAAGGGGTGGCGTGTGACAACTATGGTTCTGAATTAGGTATTTTAAGTAAATACATGTCACACATTAAGAAAGGTGAAATCAGCTTCTCTTTTAAGATCTACAATGAAAGGTTAGGATGAAAGTGCTATGTGATGGGTGTTTTTATATTTACTCCTCTGAGAGAGAAGTTTCTTGAGGCAGCGATGGTGAGGAGGACCTAGGGACATTCAGCCAGCCTTCCCTCTGGTATCTATTTGAAGGGTTGAATGAGGAGTAGCTGCACCCCCACGGTGTATCTGGCTGCCATCCCCAAGCCAGTTTGCCAGCACTTGTCTCTGACCTGTCCAGCTGCTTATCCCTCTGAGCCACATCCACAGGCGCCTCAGTAACTCAGAGGTGTCGCTGGTTCTCAGTCTCTCTCCTGTGGATGACATAGTCATGATTCGTCCTTTTAGAGTTCCAATATTCCTTCCATAATTGAGGTTTTTTGGGTCAGCCATTTTTGGCACAAGTTAGAAATTATTTTATATGTTCATTTTGCAGGTGCTCACACATACACACACTACTTGCATTTAATTTGTGTTAAATGGCTGGGGTTTCCTTTATTATCATTCAACCTAAGTACGTGATATCACTGAGCCACTACAAAGGCCCCTTGTTAAAATTGGTTCCTTGAAAACCAGGACATTTCCTGGTCTCTCCCACTGCCCCTAACTGATTGTACTTAACATGCACAATTATATTGTTTAATACGATAGCCACCAACCACGGGTGGCTATTCAACACTTGAAATGTGACTAATGCTGTACATGTAAAATACACACTGGATTTCAAAAGAGATCTCAAAGTGTTTTTAGGTGGATTACATGTTAGACTAATATTTTAGATATATTGGGTTACATAAAATAGATTATTAAAATTAATTTCACTTGTTGAAATTTTTCCAATGTGACAAGGACATTTAAAGTGACACTGTGACTCCCAACAGGCAAGACTGCTATAGAATGTCCCCAGTGCCAAATCAGCTGGGAACCCCCTTACTGGCTACCCCCAGGGGTGATTCCATGCATGTGTATTAGAAAGGGTGACTAGGTTGTTGCTAATTAAGATAACGCAATGGGATTCTGCTTTGCATAGAATTCTCTCGTTCCAACCAAGCTCATTTTCTGTTTCAGCCAAGCTTGGACAGCCAATAATTCAGAGTTTTGAACAACTTGGTACAAAACTGAACGTGACTGTACAGGATGCATATACCTTAGTCAGGAGGAAGGACAAGTTCCTAAGACTCCGGGATGTCTTTGGCCAGGACTTAAGTTACACACTTTATTATTGGAAAGCCTCAAGTACAGGAAAGGTGAGCACTCTTTCATTTGCTTTTATGGTCTGTTTAAAATTGATCTTATAGCCCATTTCTCCCCCAATTTGAAACTAGCAGAAGGGGTGGCTGAGAGGGCAGTGTGGTGGATGGGGTGGGTGCCTGCTCTCCTGCTTCTCTGGTGACTTCGGGGCTTCAGGCAGGCTCCTCAGCCAAGGGGCTGGACCAGGTCTGCCCAGGGTCCTGCCAGCTCCCACATTTCTTCCTCTATTGAGCATCCCAGAGACGAAAGTTGTTTTCCACTCAATGGCTGATACTTCATCCTTTTTTTTCCTTTATTATATCTCCTAACAAAATTGGGTTGGATGTGCCTACAGTGGCTATTTTCGGTCTTGGAAAAAGCATCCTTAGCAATTACCAGAGGGAACTGATTAATCAAGTTACTTCCTATCCTTTAAATGCTACATGATCCCATGTAGGTTTTTACTTCTACAGTAACTTAGTAAAGAGGAAATAATTCCCTCTGAGCCCAGAGGAATTAACAACTCTACCTTTTAACAGAAAACAGCCAAGACAAACACAAATCAGTTTTTAATTGATGTGGACAAAGGAGAAGACTATTGCTTCCATGTTCAAGCTGTGATTCCATCACGAAGAACTAACCAGAAGAGTCCAGAAAGTGCCATTGAGTGCACCAACCAGGGGAAAGGTGTGCCCCGAGGTGAGTGACTGTGCCCACCCTTAATCTGGAGACCTGGATGCCATCCAGAGGACGAGCTCTACCTCAGAGCCCGGATGTTCTTCTTTTGTTCAGGAAGAACTGCCCTAGTTTTGTGTCTTTGTCTTATTTAGGTGCTCTTACAGTTTATGCATTTAGAAATGTTTTTATGTTATTCTCTTATATCAGCAAGTGTCTTCTTGAGCACCTACCCTGTGCCAAGCTCTCTGTTGATCAGGATTCAGCATTAAATCACAGATTTCTCTGGGCATTTTTTCATCCTTAAATTCTGATCTGAAGGGTTGTGAGCAGCATCTGGATCAGTGCCCAGTAGACTTTTGTACGTGCCCACTAGGGGTGGCTGCCACCGAGGTTATGAAGTCGAATGGGTCAGGGAAGGAATAGAGTGTATCAGATGTACCCATGCACACTTGTGTGCACATGGCTTGTCATGTGTGTCATGTGTGTGCACCTGGGGCTGCTCCCCAGCAAGGACTGGGTCCTCACTGGCGGTGCAGCAGGTGTTCAGACACATGGGTGAGGCAAAAAGGTGGGGAAATTTCCTCCAGGCTGGAGAGGGAAGGTGCTGAGTACTCTCAGGGAACAGAGGATCAGAGGGTAGTCCTGTGGCCTAACGCCTTATAAGATGGATTTAAACATTTAAACATTCCAACAAATTCTCTCCTGTTGATTACACTCTGCTTCCTTCTGGTCAGACCCTTTGGGTCATGACCCCTCTGGGCCATTGTCGCCCACAGTCCTTGCACCCATATCCCCAGCGCCCAGCTTGAATTCCATTGCTTCTGTCTCTGTGCTCACCCAGACCTCTGCCTCCCTGCTCCTCTGTCTGCTGAGATGTGTCCTTTGAGAACCATTGCAGATGCCACCTCCACCACTAAAGCTCTTCTCACCTGAATCCGAGTACATCCCACAGGGCTCTTTTTGCCCTGTCCATCTTCTGCTTTCTCATTGCCGCCAAACTCAGCATTATTGTTTTTTTATTTCATATGCATTTTAAATATTTATTTATTTTTAATTATTTTATATATTTTTACATCATTTTTCATTTTTGTGCAGTGCATGCATTTTCATCTTAGTTATGGTCCCCATAAAATTCCCACCACCCCTTCACCCGTGTACTATCATCATGGTCCCTTGTGCTCTTCCCACCCTTGTTTTGATCCTACTCCCTTCTCACCTCCTGCAGTATGTCTCTGATTTATAGTTTATAGTTCAAAAAAGATAAACTCATGCTATTTGCAGCAATATGGATGGAGCTGGAAGGGATAATGTTCAGTGAAATAAGCCAGAAAGAAAAAGAAAAATACTAGATGGTCTCACTTATAGCAGGAATATAGAGGATCCAAGTACAGGATCAGAAAAAAAACCTAATTATAATAAAGTAAAAACCAAAATCAACAGGCAACTATAAATCAAAAACTCAGCATTATTTTTAACCTCTTGTTTCTAACAGTTCTTCTCATTTCCAGCTTTTCTAGACTGTGAGCCTTACCCATTTATATTCAATGGCCCTTTGAGTGCTTTTGGCCATTGTCAATTGCCTTAAAACATCTAGGGTTTGACAAATTCTTTCCTAATCTAAATGTGTTGTGGTGGAAAGCACAGAGGAAAGAAATTTCAAATTATGCAAAAGCAGGATGGTATTATCGAGGATTATGCCCTCTGTCCTGCCTACTGATAAACGAGATTCACATTCTTAGTTGACTTGGTACCTTTTACTTTTCAGAAATGTTCTTTATCATTGGCGCTGTGGTGTTCGCGGCCATCGTCTTCATCATCGTCCTGACTGTGTCTCTGCACAAGTGCAAGGAGGCAAAAGCAAAGCGGGGTGGAAAAGAGAACTCCCCTCTCAATGTTGCATAAGGAAAAGCGCTGCAGGAGCTGCCAACTACTGCAAAGTTTATATTGCACTGTAACCAAGAACTCTTAAAGAGACTAGACTACATAGAAACACACAGAAGGATCTAGGAGCCTGGAGTCCCTCGGACTCAAAGAAAGCTCTTTATATGATCTATTCTCACATTAGCATTCTGATTTCAACATCAGCACTAGTTATTTTAATGTAACAAACGGTACAACCTATTCCAAGTTTTAACGATTTTTATTTTAACACTACAGCACCTGTTGCACATACCATGCTTTTGACTGTATATTCTGCACTCAAGAAGAAACCAGGTTATCTGAGCAAAAAAGCAAATGAATAAATGTCTTAAAGATTCCTGAGTGGACTGATAGAGAACTTTGAGCATCTGGCTTCAAGCCATATGGGAAAGTAAAATGGAAATTGGGTGGACTTTTATAACTCATCTGTCCCTTTATAATATGGTATTTAATTTCTTCTCTTTTTGGAGTTTTTTTGGGATCAAAACATTTGAGAAACTTTTATATGAATGCTTTAAATACAGAAATCTTCTATTTTGGATACATCCCTAATATGCATTAGAGTTTAGCACTTTAACTGACTTAAATACTGTTGATTAAATACTTGACAGCTGGCTATGTTTTTATATGACTACTACAAAAACTACATAGAATTTATGATCTAAGGTACTTAAGACTTCTATGGTCAACATTGTATATATTTATATAATTTTTTAAAAAGGTTTTGTATATGGGAATTTTCTATTTATAAAGGTAATATTGTACTGTTTGTATATATTGAGATAATTTATTTAATATACTTTTATATAAATAAAGGTGACTGGGAGTTGTCATTATTGTGTTTACGTATCTTCCATTTATTTATGGTTTGGTACTCATAATAGTTGACTCTGCTGCTATAACAAATGACCCTAAAATTCTCAGTGGTTTATAACAATATTTTCTTTATTCCTCATGTACTTTATTGTTTGGTGGCTGGAGTTTGACTGCAGGCCTTCCTAATGTCTTCTCATTTCTAGGAGCCAAACCAAAGGGGAAGCCCCTTTTGTTTTGTTGGGTTTGGTTTTATTTTTAAGTTGTGTTTTTTTTTTTTTCTCCCCAGAGAAGGGTTAGCTCCTGGCCAGGCATAAAACTCAGGCCATTGCAATGATAGCACTGAAACTTAACCCCTAGGTCACAAGGGAGGCGTGGAAGCCCTCTTGGATGAGGGCAGAGGGAAAAGCAGAAAACTGGTGGGGCCAGGCAGCTGCATCTTCAAACTTTAAGCCAGCTCTTAAACCATCTGCTCCACACTGGCCCTTTTCACTGACTGGGCAAGACACACGACCATGCCTGACAAAACTCCACCTTTGGGCCAGCTCCACAGGCCGTACAGCCTGGGAAGGCACAGGCATTTCAGGGAGGGGAGAGAGTTCCATGACCTTCTGCAGACACAAAGAGAGAGAGGCATTAGTCTGAATTGTGAATGCAGGTTGGAGAGGAGAAAGGAAGAAAAATTCTTTGAATTAGTCTTGAAAGACAACTGGATAAAAAGCCAATCTAATATATAAAGAGACATGGAGTGAGGCCTAGATTTAATTAAAAGCAAAGTCAATTGAGAGCTCTCTGCAGGCAGGGCTGGGTCTATCCTTTAACTGCCTCTTTAGGATGACTGTGGCCATGCCAGGTGATTCAGTCATGGATGAGTCGAGTTGACTTCTAGTAATAGAAATGGTGAGGTATCCACTCAAATAAGATAAAATTTAGCAGAACTGTCACTTTCTGTTGAAGTGGATTCTAACTAGAGATGAAAATGAGGTTCCTGGCACTGAGGTAAGCCACAACCACCTCTCCTTGGTGGGAAACTGGCCCAGTGGTCTAGGGGAACCTCCATGGCACATCCACCTGGAAGTGTCCCCCCAATGAGACACTGAACAAGTAGGTAAAGGAGCGAAGACACAGTTCACTGTCCAGCTGTTTGTAACTTTTGATCCACATTGTTCCTTTGCTCCAAAGAACTCCAAGCATTGTCCATTAAACTCTAAACATGAAATATTTATTTCTATTTTTTTTAAAGATTTACTTATGCATATAAGAACTGGGGTACAAGTCAGAGGTACAGGGGGTGAAAGGATTCACCAGAGACAGAGTGGGGAGCAGAACAGGCAGAGCTACTGAAATACACTGCTGAGGGGAACAGCGGTGAGATAGGAGAGGTCTGCTGCACCATGTGGATAGCTCCCTGGCTGGCCAGGGATTAAACTCTGCTGCAGAGGCTGCGGATAGCTTCACAGTGCTGTGCCTAGCCCCTTGCACCACCAGGGAGGCCCTAAACATGAAATGTTTAGAAATGAAATAATATCACACTCCAAGGAAAGAAGGTGATGTCACCAAAAACCTAAACAAAACCAGCCTTGAGGTCCCCATCAAGCTGGTAGCTTCAAGGAGAATTAAAAGGTAGCCATTTTGAAGAAATTAAGGGAAACAGGCCAGTGCTTGGTTTAGTGGGTCTGTTTGCCATGATTCACCTGTGTCCATGCTGGAGAGGCTGACTCTTGCATGGTTGTAGGATTTTGTTAGAACAGGGAAAGTGGGGAGAATGGGGTGTTTCAAACAGGAAGGGGTGGCAGGGGGCCACCCCTGAGAAGTATACTCTGGCCGCTATCTTCTATCTTGAATTCCTGCTCACATGGGACCACCCAGGACCAAGAGCTTAGATACTCTGTGAGGGGTACAGCAGGCCCCAAACAAGGCCTCTGAGCAGCCCTTCCCTCAGGCTGCACTTCCCCTGCCAGGAATAATTACAGCATTATATAACTCCCAGGCCTCCTAATCTAAGGAATTTGAATCGTCCCTCTAAAGAAAGAACTGGCAGGGTGAAAGGTCTGGGTAGTAACGAGGTGTCTGGTTGTTCACAGGGAAGGAATTCATTACAGATGTGAATGAGGCTGGACTGTGGTGACCGGGAAGCTTCAGTGTTGCACATTCTAGCCATGGCCTGAGCTGCTGCCCCTCTCCCAATCACTGAGATCGAACAGCTGCTGCTAAAATTAATGCCTTTATAGTGCTGGAACAGAAAACCTACACTGCTAACTGGAATCCATAAACTACCGGGATAAACTACATAATCTACATAAACTACATAATCTACATAAACTATAATCATTCTTAAATAAACAAATGATTATCTCTGCTCATTAAATAGTTAGTAAACTCATTCCCAAAAGCATTTTTTACCTATTGTAGGGCATCTGGATTGAGCGTGTGTTATTTCTCTCCTGGTTGCCTGAGAAGGTTTATTACTGTATTATGTGATTTCCATTCAGGCCCTTATTGGTGGACACTAGTTCTCCTCTCCCCAAGCCCTTGCTTCTCAGTGGATCTTCTAGGTCATTCTGGCTTTGTTGGTCAGCATACTTCATCCTCGTGGCTGCAGAAATTGATTGCCCTAAACCTAGTCCAAGAATCCAGTCTAGGAAAGGTAAACCTCAGGTTTTTTTCTGGGAATCTTGGGATACCCTCTTTCTTGTTTAACACAACCAAGAAAGATATATAGCCCCAAGAGTTGCTGGTAATTATCTGAAGATCACAAAGGTAACCAGATTCAACTGGAGCTGACATATTGGAGACAAGTACAGAGTGATGGAAAAAAAGCTAAGTGTTTGGTGACATCCCCAAACTGATGGATCAAGCCATGTCTGAAGTTATCCCTACCCAAGGCTTTACCACTGAAAATAAACTGATTGTTTACCCAAGCTTGACTGAGTTTTTTTTCCCAGTCAAATCACCCTAATTGATGCTGTATAAGCATTGACCATGGAATATAAACAAAGACAAAGCTTATAATTTAAGCTTTTAACATAAAAAGCTTATAATGCAAAATAACATTCTATTTCCATGCCCTCTAAACCATTGGATGATATTGCCCAGAAGTTACCCTTTTCCAACACTTTTGAGGTCTCCATTTCTATTCAATCATTCCTATTCAAAATATTGTTACATACTTAAAGATTTTCTGTCTTAAAAGAAAAATCTTCCTTTGACCTCATAGAATTCCTCATCTGATTTCCTCAGTCTCTACTCCTTCTTGGACATCAGTCTCTTATTTCTGACTTCTAAATGTTGACTCGCCTTAGTGCTCCAACCTAACCTCTATCAATAATCACTCTCCAGGTAATACATCCAAGTCCATGACTCCATTGTCTCACTCTATCATGCCACATGCCCACATCTTCTATGTGTTCTATGACTCCCAGTGTATGCCTTAGCCACCAGTACCTTTCCTGCACTCCATACTTGCTGGCAGATCCAATTACACAACTTCTCCCCCGAGATGTCTGGTGGGCATCTCAATCTTAATAAGGCCAAAAAGAATCTGTAATATTTCCCAAACCCAGACTCATTCTGTCCCCATTTTAAGAAATGGCAGCATCACTGATTCAGACTGAAAGTCTTGGTGTGCTCACCGATGTCTCTTTTTTCCTCCCAGGCTACATTTAATCCTCGGCGAAGCCTATCAGCTCCATCTTTCAATTATGTCCCAGTTCTGAAGGTCACCTTCTCCTCCTTCATCCCTCCAATTCAAGCTGCTTTCATCTCCTGCTGGTTTAGTGCAATAACCCCCTTGCTGGTCTCCCTGTTTCCACATTTAGTCTCCTACAGTCTATTCTCTTTTCACAGAGCAGTCTTTTCAAAAAGGATTTCACACAAGACTCGGACAGAGGAGAAACAGCAACCATTAGCAGGCTGGCATGGTTAGAGGTGGAGAGAGACCGATGCCGGGGGTTGGGGGGGGTGGCGGCAACAGATCCACTTCAGCCTCTGCTTCCCCTATTCTTGATGATATTTTATTCCTGATCTGTAATCATGCTGACCAACAGTGACCCCAGATGCCAAGGAAGTAATTTCTCATGGGTTTTTCCACCAGTTCTGGGGGAGCCCAAGGAGGAAATAACTGGTCTTTCCATAAAGGTTTTGAGGAAGATGTGAGTATGAGCTGACACTTTTCCAACGTCCAGAGCAGATCACTCAGTTCCTGAGTGGGCAACTCCACACAGCTGAGCCTCCTGCTCAGTTCTGCTCCCCGAAGCGCCTGGGTAACTGCTCAGCCTGTCATGGGGCAGCCCTTAGCACCTCCCTGACCCTGGCGTCTTCACATTCTCCACTCCCAAGGGCCGGGTAGTGGCCACGTGGACAACAATGGTAACTTTCTTCATTTTTTCCTAACAGTTGATTCAATTTTTAATTCAGACTCCCTTCCCACAGGCCTAGAAACCAATCCAAGCAACTTGGTGATTCCCGAATGTCGACTTTTCCCTGCACTTTCGTCAAGTTACCACCACCACTGCCACATCCCTGCCCTCCAGTCCCTCCCTTCCCTTCAGACTGGCCTCTCCCTTCAGTGGGGAAATCCTTTTCTAGTTGGAGGGCGGTGGTTGGTTGGGAAGCCTCCCCCTTCCCAGTCACCATGCTCTCGTAACTCTGTTGTCTGTGCACTAGTCCCGTCTGCCCAGACTGTCCTGAGCCAGAGCAGACTCCAGTTTTCTCTTCCAGTTGCCACTTCCCTTCCTGAGACAATGACCACAGATCTGCAGACTGGAAGAATAGGGAGCAGGGTCAAGGGTCAAAGGACACAGGAAAAACACCACTCCATATTTCAAAGAACATTATTCCATCATTCCAGCTAAAGAAAGGACTGAAAAATCACACACATGAACGCATCAGTGACTCATAGCAATGTTTCACCACAAGGCTTGCTCTTAAAAGTACGAAAGCAGGATTTCATGCATCTGCTTCTGTGAGGGTTTGGTGGAAAGGCAGAAGAGGCGCCTTCTCTCTGCTAAATCTGACTACGTGCTGATCTGCCATTCTATAAGACATGCCCCAAGTCTTCCTGAGCACCCCGCTTATCCCGCTAACTCTACTCCAAGCCTAGGTTCCTCTTGTCCACGTTTTTAATGCCCATCCCCCATAAAGAGCCAGGTCTTGCTATGCTATTTTCTTTTAAAGGGAAGCTGCCTGCATTACTGTACACATGGCCAATATCCAGCCCTTGTGAGTGCAGAGCGTGAAGATGTCAGGGTTAGGGAGGGGCTGAGGGCTGCACAGTGACAGGCCAGGCAGGCACCCAGGGGATTGGGGAGGCAGAATTGAGCGGGAGGCTCCACCGTGTGGAGTTGCCTACTCAGGAACTGAGTGATCCACTCTGGAAGTTGGGAAAGTGTCAGCTCATCCTCACATATTACACCCTGTGTGCCTATCTAATTTGGAGAACTGTTTTTCATGATCCTGCACACTTCCAAACCATTACTGTTCCAGCGTTAGTTTCGACTAGTGCTTCTCAAAGTGGTCCCCAGACCAGCAGCATTAGCATCACCTGAGAACTTGCTAAGAAAGCTAAGAACCGTGACTTCAGGTTTACTGAAGTAGCAATCTGTACTTTAACAAGAAGTCCTTCAAGTGATTCTAATTCCCCATAAAGTCTGGGATCCGCTGGTTTGAGCCCTTGTATCACAAGAAGCTGGAAATGGCTGTAGACACAAACAGGGGATGCCTAGTCCTTGGAGACATCAGAATCAGCCATCTGGAAGCCAAACTCAAGCTAGGAACATACAAATCATGAACCTTGATCCCCCACATGAGGAGGTTTGTCACACCTGGGCCTGGCAGGATTCTTCCTGTTGTGAAATACAAATGATAATAATGCTACAGGTGTGGGGCTGCTGGGGACCACACTTTGAGAAGGTCACTTTTAAGAGAACTTAGCAAAACTGGGGAGCCTGTCAAGTGGGCTAATTGGTCTAAAAGCTCCTCATCCCTTTTTTGCCTAAATTGCAAGATTCTATGTTGTTAGAACATTAATGATTAACAATAAAAATATCACTTTTGAAAATGCTTTTTTAAAAATCCAGCAATTTTGAAACTGACAAATTGCAATTCTTCTTGAATACACAATGTTTATTTAATAAATTTTTAAATAGGGTTCTAAGGAAACTTCCAGAAAGTTTCTTTACATGGCACTCTTTAAATGGAGCTTCAGATACCACCAAAAAAACATGCTCTATCAGTACAATAATTTGTCTTTTCTGAACATATATCATGCCAGAGATTAAGAAACGTAACAGGAGGAGCAGGAGAATGCCCTGCTTGGGTAGCAGCTTTTGGGACTGGAAGCAGCCTCATTGCTAAGATTGTGCCGCCACCTTCAGGGCTGGATGAGGATCAGCAATTTGACCCCAATGGTCACAGACTGGATTATGAAAGAAGGAATCCTTAACAAAAACCAAAACACCTGTAAATGATTAACAACGAAGGCACCGGAGGGAGGTGTAGACAGAATCATTGAACCAGAGGACCTTCTCCAAGTTGCTGAACTCTACCTCTGTCAGTGGCCACAGCTGCTAGAGCTGTCACTGTCCTGCTATTGAAGTGTGGTTTAGGAACAGCAATTTTAGCATTATTTAAAAACTAATTAAAGATGGAAATTCTTGGACCCCACCCCAGGCCTAAAGAATCAGAATCATCATTCTCCAGGTGATTTGCACACACACCCACGTCTGAGCAGCTCTGCTCTCTGTGCAACCTGTTAGGCCACTGGGTCTGATTTCACAGGGTAGGGGAAGAAGAGTGGAGAAGGGAGACAGAAACAGCACCTGAGATGATTCCGTCCATGCCCAAAGTAGTCATGACCATATTGCAAATATTACACATTCCCAGAGACAGTATTTTGAGGACCTCTGCCTTGATCCCTTACTTTCTAAAGATCAAAAACTTTCCAATCTCAATGCCAGTCATACACGTGCCCTATTTCTACCTACCCATCCTTCAGAACTGTTCATGTTTCCTGGACCCAGGTTCCCTGTGCCTTCTCCTTACCTCATCACATTCTTACGACTCTTTCTTATGACTTAATATTGCACAGAAGTTTCTTTATCTGTCATTATCTCTTTTCTGGATTGTAACTTCCTTGACAAGAACCATGCTTATGCATCTGAATTCACATCTTTTGCTCAATAATTTATTCTAATACTAATAACCTGCTATATGCCAAATTTGATTAAAGTATCACAGGCTAATCTCAGTTTTTCTGGAGCTTGTGTACTTGCAGGGCAAAATGTCAAACAAGTAATGATAACAGAACTTATATATTATGGTAGGGAAAGGGTGTTTTAGAGAACTTACGTGGGGCCTTCTAACTTGAACTTGGAAGGATTATCTGTGCGCAAGGACAAAGAATTAACAGGCAAAGGGGGGAAGGGGAAAGGAGAAACTACAAAAGGTGCTCCAGGAAGAGGGAATGCTTTCATCACTGAACAGTATCTTAGGCATCAGATAATTGCAAAAACCAAATTGTGTTTGGCAAAGTTTGGAGTTTCGTCTCAAGTATCCCAAAGTCAACATCACTTGAGAGAATGCCTTTGGCTAAGAGTTGTACCAATTAATTTATCTTTAAAATGTATCTTTTTTTAAAAAGACAGCTTTTAAAATACTGACTTTTTAAAATTTAGGATGACTTAATTTTTATAAAGCAGAACCAAAATGATCAGATAACATAGCGTGAGCTATTCTAAGAACTGACAAAAAAGCTTTACCTCAATCAACCGAAAGTCCGAAGATATTAAACATCACGAGTCTGCTCTCATCATCACTGGATGAACATCACCTGATGTTCTGAAGGACATCCCAGGATCATGACCCATCATTCGAGTTTTTTTAATTATTTTAAATACTGCTAAAATAAGCAATCTTTCATTTTTATTTTTTCATTGAGGCAACATAGTGGTGGGTGTGGTGGTAACAAAAGCAATCTTTTTGGGGAAAAAATATGATATAGGGACATCAAAAAGTCTCTATGGACTTCCAAGTAAAGATGAAACATTTCTTCTCTCGTTCCTTAGATACCAGTTATATAACACCAAGTTAACTCAAAAGGTTTAAATCATAGGGACAAAGAGAAAAACAGAAATTAATGAACTAGGGTTTTGAGTAAATAACGGACCGAGAAACACAAGACTTTTTGTACATGGAAAAGGAAGCTCTACCCTATGTACAAAGAGGAAGCAAGGTAGAGGAGAAAATTAATTTGCCTTCACGGAGCTCTCAAAAGAATCAGACACTAGGATTTGTCAGGTATTGTAGAAGATATTCTTGAGAGACCAAATGAGACAGAGAGAAGAGAGAAGACACGCTCAACATCCTCCATGGTGGGGAGATCTATAACCCCTCCCTTTGAACCTCCAAACCTTTGTAACTTTTGTGCTGAATTTGGGGTTACTTTTGATCAAGCAGACGACAGGGTCAGGATAAGCAGCAATGCACCCTTTATCTGGATGCAATTGGACAGGATTGCATAAGAGGAAATCTGTCCCCGTAACAGGCTCAAGACATAAACTAGAACACATCAATGTATCTGGTAAGCAATATGTTGCTTGTGAATGAAAGTTCTCACACTTTAGTTTGTTTCCAGATTAAACTGCCATTTCTCAGGACAGGCCATGGAAGATACCAATAGGAATTATGTGGATAAAGATGTTCTGTGGTCGATCATGTTTTGGAAACACTGGATTTCATTACTGTAAGCCTTCTTAGATGTTAGTGTACACTGAGTTTCCAGAAGGATCTATCTCTACACCCCAATGGTGAGGCACTTTAATGTTTGTTAAATTTTAAAAGGAAGAAAAAAAAAGGGAAAAAGTTATTTTTTTGATGGATTTATTACAGAAGGAATTAGGAGCATATTTCTAGTAGGAAGTTTAGGGTAAACAAGAAATCTAAAACTCTCAAACTTCCCCCACATTTTAAAACCTTTCTCAGTATTGAAAATATTTTCTCAGGTCTTCTGGCTATTTGGTGGCATTTATGAGGTGTACGGAAGGTTTTTACCTGGCTTTTCTGAAAGAAATTCATTCAGTTAAAAACCACTTTTGATAAAACATTTCTTAAAAAGGGAATCTGGGTGCCAAAAATTTTCTGAGTGTTACGTTTGTGTTTTCCACTCAAAACTAGATGAACTACCCAGTATTCAGATAACAGAATAAAAAGAACAAGTAAACGTTGTATAGGATATCTGATTTTTTTTAATCTGAACAGAAAATAGGTAAGTAGACAAGTTTGCTAAAGAGAAGTGGTAAAAATTCAATGTTATGCATTATGGAATCAGTACATCAAGTTTTACTTCAGTAGCCGGTGATTTTTAAAGTGAATTCTGCAAAAAACCAAGAGCAGTTATGCAGAAACAAGAATATAAAATGCCCCTTTCTGAACCCTAGGTTTGATAAAAACTGATTTCATATCTAGCTTATTGATATATTCAGTTTCAGTTTTCCCTGTGCAAATAATACATGTAGTCATTAACGGTGGCTTGATAAGATGAAACAGATTTATCTTAGTATTTTTTAATATCATAACCAAAATATAAAAAAGTTATTAAAGATTCAGAGATAAACCAGCGCCTAGGAAACATAATTCACTCGTGTGTATATTTCAAAAGATATTTTTAAACATAAAATCACAGTCAAAGACAGTGATGACGTTGCATACTCAGTGCATTTCTTCATGTAGTGCATTCCTATGGCTCATTTGGAGTTTACCACCATGTCACCATCACACTTGTGATGAATGGGCTTCTAGCAGACATAAATCCATCCAATTCTTTAGAAAATCTAAAAATCCTGTTAGACCTTGAGCTTGACATGTAAAGATTTTGTTTTAATATCCCAAACATTGGGAAGACTAGGTGTAAAACGTAACAACCACCCCTCTGGTAAGTAAGACTGCACATATACTTTTGTTACACCACCACAAGAACCCACCAAACAGCTCAATACTGCAAAGATTGAGAGGGGCACATTTATTTCTTCACCTAAGAAAATCCAAATGGCTTTCCTGGAGTCAAAGGTACCCCAAGACATAGACAAGGAAGGAGGATGACTTTGGCAGGTAAAGAAATCTGCCACTGTGTAATAACCGCTACTGCTATGCAATGACAGATTCCATTTCTGTAATACACTATGATTTGTTGGTTCCCACAATCATGGGAGATGAGAAAATGAAACTCAGACTATCTTGTGAGTATAGAACAAGTGATGACCCCAGATTTAAATAGGGTTCTTCATTGAAGGAAAAGATAAGAGCCATAAAAGTCAAATTAGCTGACTTCAAATGGTTTACATCCCAGGATGAATCAGGTTACACTGATTTAAGCCCAATTTAATTTAGGCAGGTTTTTAACCACAAGAATAAGGACATTCTTAGTACATATTAATAATTAAAACAACATATACACAATTAGCAATATCCTATATAACATTAAATGTTTTAACAACTTGTTCTCAATTATTTTATATCTGGTTAATTTTTTGCTTTGTTTAAAAAGAAAAAACCAAGCTCAACTTTACAACATATGCCGTAATTTCTAAGTGTATTCTGTAATTATTTCATTGAAGCCCATGGGATAGTTCTCCGGTTCTCTTAAGAGCCAAATTCAACTGTGTCTTCTGTTATCTGTTTGAATTCATAATTGCCTCTGCCATCCATATGCAGGTAGTACTATGGAAAAGAAAGGGGAAAAAAATCAGTAAGAATTTTTCTTGTGTTTGAGATTTATGTAAAGATTATGATACTAGAAAGGGATTAGAAATGATTATTTTAAGCCACTAAAACTTTCCCAAGTTGATACAGCAAGTCCTCACTTAACATCTTTGATAGATTCTGAACTCCAGCTTTCCACAAAACAATGTATAACAAAATCAGATTCTTGAATAATGTCATCTCACTCAAAGTAGGACAGGATTGTCTCATCAAGTAATGCTGAGCAAAATGAAGCTGAGGGACTTCTATATCTACGGATACAGTTCTTAAGGGTTAAATAAGGTCTGCTCTTTCTAAAAACAGTAAGAGGTAACTGGTTGGAATTGATGTAAGTATTTTCCTTGATGAGAATGCAAATACCAGAATTCTTCATTATTTTAAAAAAAACCAAAGCTGTAAGCACCTCATAAATTAGAACACTTCTATTGCTTCATGAGGAAAGCTATAACCTGCCACATATGGAACTGAATCTCGACCAAGGCTGTTCAAAAGGGCAGCCTTTGAAAATTCCTTTAGGTGGTGTCCCAGATCAGCGTGCCACCTCTGATTTATTAAGGTTTTTTGTTTTGGGACTTACCCGAGGAGAAGAATGATATAGTGTGCCTATAAGCCCCAACCTAGAGAGGCACTTTGGACAGCAGTTACAAAACTGCTTTTATTTTTTTTTTTTTTTAAACAGAAGAGACTTCTATTTTTCTAATTTCTACAGTTATTTTTTAGACATTCTGGCCTCTGAGTCACCTCTCCTTCACACACTCACTGGTCTGATTGCTGTTTCTGATGCGGGTCTCTACCTCCAGAAGAGGAGGAGGGGAAATTCAAGGGCCTTCACTGTTCTATGGCTGTGACATACCTGACCTTCTCAGAAAACACACTGCTTTGATTTCTAATTATTCAATTTGTGGAAGAAAAAAAAAAAAAGAACAATTTATAATGTGCCAGATTTTATTTTTTTTTTTTTTTTTAAATCTTTTTATTTATTTTTTTTTTTTTATAGAGGCATGTTTTATTTATTTATTTTGTTTGTTTGTTTTGTTTATACATGCACTGGGTACAGTCAGAAGCGCGGGAGGGTGAGAGAATTCACCAGAGCCAGAGCGGGGAGCAGAGCAGGCAGAAGGACCGAAGTACACTGCTGAGGGGAGCAGCGGGCGGCAGGAGAGGTCTGCGCGCCATGTGGGATCCTCCGCTGGTGGCCGGGGAGCAGCTGGGGATCGAACCGGCGCCGCAGAGGCCGCGGGCAGCTTCGCAACCCAGTGCTCAACCGCTGCGCCACCGGGGAGGCCAGTATAATGTGCCAGATTTTAAAAAAACTATCTGTAAAAGTCACACAGGTGTAGAGCATCTCATCACATTTTAAGTCCTTTTCTTGGGGTCCCTCTTTGGTCCTCGGTGGAGTCCATGAGACAGGCAGGGAAGGATCAGTAACTTAGTCATATGAAGAAAACATCTGATGCCAGACAGAGTGACGCCTGACACCAGGTTCTTAAACTTCAAATCCAATGCTCTTCAGTTTCTCTTCTGTACGCTATCACTTAAACCAAAAGGTCTGGAAGCATATAGCCAGCACTGAGCTATGTGCATGACAAAAGAGATACTCCATCAGGTGTGTGTTTTATGGGACAGAATACCAATACCACAGTTCCAGTTTTTCTTGAACCCTTTCTTTTACCTAAAAATTTCTTATCCATTAGGAAGGAAAAAGGGAAGGGAAGAAAGGAAGAAAATAAGTGAGGTAAACTGTGTTTATTTTTAGGGTGTGAGCACTTTATATTAAGAGTTCAAAAGAACTTCTATCCTAGGATGGGCAGTGCTGGGGTGCCAGAATAAATAAGACAACTGCCCCAGAGCACACAGACCTCACTGCGTGGTTACAGTGACCACTTAGGTGAATTCTACTTCAGTCCTGCGCAGTGATAAACACAGGTGACATTATCCCACCTCACCCAGTCGTCCTGATGGCTACTAAAAATGTGCCTTAACGTTTTGTCACCTAATCCTTCTTAAGACTCTTTCTCGGGCCCCTTTGGTGGCACAAGGCGTTAAGATGCAGCACTATGAAGCTATCCACAGCCACTGCAGCACGAGTTCAATCCGCAGGCAGGGAGGTGAACCACATGGCACAGCAGATCTCTCCTGCCTCGTCTGCTACTCCCCTCAGCAGTGTATTTCAGTAGATCTGCCTGTTCTGCTTCCCACTCTGTCTCTGGTGGATTCTCTCACCCTCCACACCTCTGGCCTGTACCCCAATTCTTTTGTGCATAAATAAATAAATCTCAAAAAAGAAAAGACTCGGGGACTCCCTAGTGGCGCAGCAGGTTGAGTGCTGCGCTGTGAAGCTGTCCACAGCCTCTGCAGCACGGGTTTGACTCCCAGCCGGCCAGGGAGAAACCCACATGGCGCAGCAGACCGCTCCTGCAGACCAATGTCTTTGGTCCGTCTGCCTGTTCTGTTCCCCACTCTGTCTCTGGTGAATTCTCTCACCCTCCTGTGCTTCTTCCTCTTCTGCTGATACTGGATGGTAAGAAAAAGCTGTCTTAGTCATAGTTGTGACAAGATCATGCAACTATTAATTATTATACAATAGTCATTTATAAACTGGATAGTTACTAACTGGTTCTCTGATATCATATACAACGAGGAATTTTTTGTATATACTATAGCTGTCAAAACTGATGACTAACACAATATATAAGAAAGTCTTATTTCATAAAACTAAGAATCATCTTGCTCTGTAAGATACATGCTTATTGGGAAATATACAGCAGGAAATCTAAAATAGTCACCTGATATCACATATTTAAATAAACTTTCACTGTACCAACCATGTCAGAAATACAAACCTCATGGTGCTTCCAAAGAGACTTTCTATGTGACACAGTGAAGAGGGTGATGCCAACCTATGCAGGGGAAGCAATAAGGTTTATTATCAGTAACACGGAGTCACCAGTTAAACAAGGCTATGTATTGTAAATCATTAAGATGACTCTTTGGTCATTATCGTTAAAAAAAAAAAATCAGTATCAATGAGAAAAAATTGTAACTGATGCCAACTGTTCAAGGTAATGCAAAGCATGGATCATCCACTCCACAAAAAAACAAAATTTAGAAATAAAGCCTTAAGAAAAAAATTAAACTAACAAGTACTGGCATTAAGTGCATTATTTGGAGGAGGGCAGAAAACAGGTATCCTAGCACGTTTTCTATTTTGTTGTAAAAAAATATATGCAAGAGCACAGGTTAGCAAAAGGTTAAAACCAGAAAATGCAATTAACATAGCACCATCTGTCAGCTTGCTTTTCCAATACAAGGCCATAGTCCTTTATTGGGAACCTTGTTTTGTATCATGTCATGGAATTCAGATTTTGGAAAAGCAGTTTTTACCACCCTCAGAGGGTTGTGAGGTGGATTCTGTAATTAAAACATGAATGTGTCTGCAGCAACACTTAGGGACAATGATGTAAATGAGACAAAGTACTTAAATACCTTCCATTACTTTGCTGAGTTTGCTACCCAATGGGCTTACTAAAAAACAGTGAAAAATCTTTTGGTTTTAAAAACTTTCTGGGATTTCGATTGTGAATACCTTTTATATTTAGTGTAAATACCCAAATAAAAACAGGGTATGCTATTCTTGTTAAAATCTATCTAGAACACATATGAACGATGACAACAATGTCTCAAGGAAAAACAAGCTGAGATCAATGACTAATTACTCTGGAATCGCAACAATTAGCCTCCGAATATTACTCAGGCCAAAAAAAAGATGAACAAATTAAAAATTGCTAAATGATTATTGTTTAGTTTTTAAAAAATGATATTTAGATGAAGTTAATGGAACAAATTAAAAAAATACCTGCTTATTAAATACGGTATAAGGAAAGGTGGCAAAAGGGAAATAGATAACATTATTTGCTTTATAGCTAAGACACTAGTAAATAGAATTATATACACAATTCATTTATAATTCTTTTTCCTCTATGTCTATTAATTATCAATTCACAATCTTTATTAAACAAGAATCACCCCTGGGTAGTGACTTGGAATCTGCTGGCTGGACAGGTATTTTGTTGGACTCTGAACGGGGTGGGGACAGGAACCCTCCAAGCGGCCTGTCCATCCTCACCTTTCGACAGTGGCTGTAGATGTAGTCTTCCACGTCCACGCTGACCGCGCTCGTGCACTCGTCCAAAATGGCGAACTGCGGCTTGTGGTAAAACAACCTCGCCATCTGAAGCAAAAAAGAAACAATCTGTATAATCACAGGCAGGCCTAAAATTAATAAGCTAAAACAAATTCAAATTAAATATGTATGTGTATACAGGAAACATTCAATTATCTGATAAATGAATGACTGAACCGAGACAATCACCTGTCACTGAATGACAGGAATACATTCTCAGTCGCACCTTGTCAGACGACAGTCATGTGAACACACAGAACACTGCCACGGACCTCTATGGTACAGCCCCCTACACACCTAGGCTACACAAAGGGACTGCCATCACGTCCGTGATCCACGGTTGGCTGAAACATTATGCAGTACATGATTGTAAACACAATCTTGGGGCTAATATCTATTAGTATGAGGTGAGGAAGGGGAGTAGCTAGCAAAGACTACCCAAAAGTTCTGCAATCCAGAGAACGAAAGCTACAGATTATAGGGGACCTTTTTTAGATTTGGGATACCTGAAAGCATCTTTCTGAAGGAGAAGACCTAGAAGAGATTAAACATATGGCGGGGGGGGGGGTGTGGGTGGGTGGGTGTGTGTCTCTCTCTCTCTCCATGCAAACCTGAAGGAAAGGGATAAAATAGTTGGAGAAGAGAAGATCCAAAAACACAGATGGAGGCATTCAGCCTTTCTCAAGAGATGACGGCATATCCTCCACAGAGAGTGGAAGCAGGAAGGTCAATACAGCCCTTTGCAAAGTTACTTAAGAATAGTGGTTATGGGCCTCCCCGGTGGCGCAGCGGTTGAGCGCTGGGCTGCGAAGCTGCCCTCAGCCTCTGCGGCGCCGGTTCGATCCCCGGCTGCTCTTAGGCCACCAGCAGAGGGTCCCACATGGCGCAAAGACCTCTCCTGCCACCCGCTGCTCCCCTCAGCAGTGTACGTCGGTCCTTCTGCCTGCTCTGCTCCCCGCTCTGGCTCTGGTGAATTCTTTCACCCTCCCGCGCTTGACTGTACCCAGTGCATGTATAAACAAAACAAACAAACAAATAAATAAATAAAAATGCCTCTATAAAAAAAAAATAAAATAAAATAAATAATAATAAAGAATAGTGGTTATGGGTCTTCCTGGTGGCGCAAGGGGTTAGGACGCAACCTATGAAGATGTCTGCAGCCACTGCAGCAAGAGTTCAACACCCAGCCAGGGAGCTAACCCACAAAGCGCAGCAGATAGTACCTCTCCTGTCTCATCCACTGTTCCCCTCAGTAGTGTATTTCAGTCAATGTGCCTGTTTGGTTCCCCACTCTGTCTTTGGTGAATCCTCTCCGCCCCCCTCAACATCTCTGGCCTGTGCCCCAGTTCTTATATGCATAAATCAACAAATCTTAAAAAAAAAAAAAAAAAACAGTGGTTATTTCAAAGCATTCCACCAAAGTCCCTCCTCTGGTTCCATGGAACTCTCAATCCTCGTCACACATGTATCACCTGACATGAACATGTTCTCAATGTGTTTCTCCCACGATACCACCAGCTAAGTGACAACATCATTCAGGGAGACTTAACATGTCTTGAGTCTATGAATGCTGCCACCTGAGGCTGACAGACTGTCCCCCACCCCTCAGCCTTAACAGTTACTAGCTATATTTGCTTAGCAAGCTACTAAATGGTACAAAGGCTCAATTTCCTCTCAAACATGGGATATTCAGTTCTTAGCTCACAGGACTAGTATGGAAATTAAATGAAGTGACCTGGATATCATCTACTAAGCACTCAATAAAAATTAGCTATCACTGAACTGAAATAACAACTTCTCTTTTTTCTTTAAGTAGTGAGTTATTCTGCCAATAGTGGTAGAGTAGATACTGAGGTACAAAGTATAAGACTGGTAGTTTTTAAATAATTACCATAAAAAAAGAGAGGGGGTGGAAACAAGAAAAATGATGGCAAGAACCATGCTGTAAGTTTCTGTAAGACTGGACACCAGGGACATGTGGGGCACCAGTCCAAACTCCTCTGGTTTTTTCAGCTGTGCCCACAAGCCAATGTACAGTAATGCCAAGGAAAACAGTTGCTGCTGGGTTGGACTTTAGGTAATTAATATGAAGAAATAAAAAGTGAGAAAGGAAGTTAAGGGTAAAGGGTCATTTGTTCCTTCCTTCAAAAATCTCTCCTGAGTACCTGCCATGTGCCAGGGCTGGACTATTACATCTGTACCGGACAGGAAGGAAGATAAAGTAGACTGATCTGCTGTAAGAAAGGAGAGGGGCCAATATTCTAGAGTTCTCAGAGAGGTTGAAGAAGGGGCATAGCTGCCAATTAGGTAAAAGAAAAAGAATGACAAAATGGATTTTTAAAGAACACTAAAAATTTTATGGAAGTATTTCTGATACAATGGTAGAGTGAAAAAGATGATTATGGTCAGAGTAAAAAATATCCCAACTTGTGATACTACGAGAAGCAACCCCGATGGATGGTGACTGGTACAATGAAAGAGAAATGTCACTTCAGAGTTCAAGGGACACAGAGAGAAGAGAACTGGATACACAAATGGGCCTCCCCGGTGGCGCAGCGTTTGAGCACTGGGTTGCAAAGCTGCCCACAGCCTATGCAGCGCCGGTTTGATCCCCGGCTGCCAGATGAGAGTCCCACATGGTGCGCAGACCTCTCCTGCTGCCCGCTGCTCCCCTCAGTAGTGTACTTCGTCTGTCTGCCTGTTCTGCTCCCTGCTCTGGCTCTGGTGAATTCTCTCACCCTCCCGCGCTTCTGACCGTACCCAGTGCTTGCAGAAATAAATTAATTAATTTAAAAAAAAAAACACAATTGTCATATAAAAATATTACAATATTTTGTAAAAAAACTGCCTTGGTTAAAGAGCTGGGCTGTAAGAACAACTTTACGTAGCCCTTGCATTTTCATGCAGTGTCTTTTCCAGCACACTCACCGCCATTCTTTGCTTCTCTCCACCACTGAGTACATCCATCCAATCTTGAACACTGTCCCAGCCTGCTTCACGTTCAAGGATATGACCCAACTGGACATTGTCTAAATATTCCTTCAGTACCTTTCCACAAAAAAAATTAAAGATGAAATCAAGCTTAGTATAAACCAACAATCTTTATCATGCTTTATCTTTTAAATTAGAATAGCCATAACAATATTGCTAATGCCATTGAAGGGACACGTTTTACAAAAGAACATGGCACAAAGATAGCCCTATGCCCTGTAGTTCCTCTTTATATTAATTACTACTGTGCACAATTAAAGAATGCTTGTTGAATAAAAGAAAGCTATGTCAAGAAAAGGAATGGTAAGACAAAATAATGGTAAGCCAAAACAAGCAATCGTGTAAAGCCAAAGTTAAATACATAGTCATATTTAAGTCATATTTAAGCACAGAGATTAACATCTTACCTCAACTAGGAAAGTTACAACTATGACAGGCTTTAAAAGGCTTTACAGACTAACTACCTGGTGTTTAAAATACTTAACTGGTAAGATAAAGAACATAAATATCTACACCTACTCTTCAGGAGGTCTAGATATAAACATTCCCTTACCAGGTCAGATATCCCCTTCCTTTTCTGATCTTCTTTTCCATCTGGATATATCACTTGATCTCGCAGAGTTCCAAGGGTCATGTACGGTCTCTGGTAGTAGGAGAGTAAAAATCATCAGAATTGATGTTTCAAAACTAAGTAAAAAACTAAGTAAAAAACTAAGTAAAAACTAAGTGTGTGTGTATATATGTGTGTGTGTGTATATATATATATATATATGGTTACAAAAGAACTCAAACAAGGTCTCACCTGAGGAACATAGAATAACTTCCCTCTTTCTGGTTTAGTTAGACGTCCTCCAAAAAGAGGCCATAACTATAAAAGAATGGGGGTGGAGAGGAGCAGTGATACATTTCACACTATGGCAGCCAGTGTAAAAAAAAGATGTGAAACTTTTAGGTCAGTTTGTACTTACTTCACCAAGAACACGGAAAAGTGAACTCTTCCCACAGCCATTTGGACCACAAATGAGAACATTGGCTCCAGATCGAACCTGAAAGGAAAATTAGTCTGTGAATTAATTATACAGAGTGATCATGTACTGGGTGAATGCTTCCTTAGGATCAAATAACTCTTTGCTGAGGATAAATTTTCTACTTTGTCTATAAATGGGATATTAGGTAGATGTGAAGCATATGGTTAAGGGAAGCCTTTTCTTTAGTTTGCTTTCAATTTTTACTCACTTTTTTCCCCCCCAAAATTTCCCCCATTCTTTTTTAAATGTACAGTGTACTGCATAGTAAAGATATATTGTGATTTATTTATTTTTAAAGAATTATTTATTGTTTATGTATACATAAAAAGAACTGGGGTATAGGCCAGAGATGTGGAGGGGGAGTGAGAGGATTCAACAGAGACAGAGTGGGGAGAGGAACAGGAAGATCTACTGAAAATACATTGCTAGGGGGTGCAGCAAGCGAGACAGGAGAGGTCTGCTGAGCCATGTGGGTTAGCACCCCTGGCCAGGATCGAACTCATGCTGCAGTGGCTGGCGATAGCTTGATAGTGCTGAGACTTTAACCTGTGCACCACCAGGGAGGCCCTATCATAATTAAATCAATTAAATTGATTAAATTAATTAATTAATTAAATCAATGCACTAGTGAGAGATGTTTCTATAGATCAGATTCTTAGAAATTATAAGTGTCGGGCCTCCCCGGTGGCGCAGCGGTTGAGCGCTGGGTTGCGAAGCCTCTGCGGCCTCTGCGGCGCTGGTTCGATCCCTGGCTGCTCCCCAGCCACCGCAGGAGGGTCCCACATGGCGCGCAGACCTCTCCTGCCGTCTTCTGCTCCCCTCAGCAGTGTACTTCGGTCCTTCTGCCTGCTCTGCTCCCCGCTCTGGCTCTGGTGAATTCTCTCACCCTCCCGCGCTTCTGACTGTACCCAGTGCATGTATAAACAAACAAACAAATAAATAAATAAATAGAAATTCATGCCTCTTTAAAAAAAAAAAAAAGAACAAAAAAAAAAGAAATTATAAGTGTCAGATCAAAATATATATGCATTATGTATTTATATAAGTATTTACAGAATCACAAAATTGTTCAGCAACAATAGAAAGATTAAGCTAAGAAAATGTAAAAATTGATTAAGTTCTAAGCTTGCAGTTTTATGTGTTAATCCACCTTATCATGAATTACAACACCTGGGTTATAATTTGCAATGTCACATAACAATGTGCACAACAGGAAAGAAGACAATAGAGAGATTCCAGTTACCTTAGCCATGGAACCTGCCTTTGACAATTATTTTCAACTGTTGAGTTTTGGGATCCCAGTATTTAATTCAGTAAGTATTTATTGAAAGCTCAGTATCAGGCTCTAGTCTAGGAAAGGGGGCTACATTAGTAAATAAAAGAGACAAAAACTAAAATCCCACCTTACCCTTTCTGTTTTATTTTCTAATAGGAGAGACATGCAATAAAGAATATGCATAATAAATAATTAAACAGTATTTTAGAAAATAAATGTCATGGAGAAAAAATAGATCAGGGTAAAGAAGCTTGGGAGTGGATGGGGGAAGTTGCATTTTCAAGGCAATTGGGGTAGACCTCACATAAAATGACAACCGGGCAAACTTTGGAAACAAGGAGTGAATTAGACACATATTTGAGGGTATATCCTTCCACTCCTAACCCTACCCATAAAAAGTAAGTGTAAAAGCCACCAAGGCAGGAATGTAGTTATACTATTCAAAAAACAGGCAGCAGATTTGGCTGGAAAAGAATAAGCAGGAGGGATGAGCTCACAGAAGAGGTAGAGGCAGAGTAGCTGCAAGCAAAGCTTGTAAGACGCTATGTGCCACTGAAAGGACTTTGGCTTTTACCCTGATGAAATGGAGCACCATCAGCATTATTCATAGTAGCCCAAAAGTGGAAGCAACCCAAGCAGGTTGATGGACGAATCAAAAATGTACCAGTGCACAAGGAAATATTACCCAGCCTTAAAAAGGAATGAAATTCTGATACATGCTACAATGTGGATGAATCTAAAGACATTATGCTAAGTGAAATAAAGCAGACATAAAAAGAACAAGTATTGTATGACACTATCGATATGAAGTACCTAGAATAGGCAAATTCATAATGATGAGAAAAAGAAAAAAAGCTACCTGGGCCTCTGGGTAGGAGGGGGAGGAGAATGGAGGAGTTATTGTTTAATGAGTACCAAGTTTCTCTTTGGTAAAATGAAAAATTCCAGAGGTGGTTCATGGTGATGGTTACCCAACAGTAATGGCACTTAATTGTACACTTTAAAAAGGTTAAAATGGTATTTTTTGTTATATATATATTACAACAATAAAAAAAAGAATGAGTTTCTCAAGGTTAAGAGTTACTAATCTACCACAGAGTTGATCTATAATAAATACCACAACTTATGCACATCAATGTGAGAATGAGCTGTTCTGAATGACTTTGTTCAGACAAATCATCTGTCTGTTTCTGAGAAATTATTTTGAAGAATCATTTTGAAGGACTTCTTTCCAAAAAATTAGATAGGTCCTTCTCCTGTAAAACTGAATAATCTTCCTGACAATGAAAGGTTATTGTATATAATAATTACATTAAACTATAATATTGGTCTCCTTAGGAGCTCTTAACATTTCAAGAGCTGTCAATGACTCCTGACTAATGTGTTTTATTTGAGTATTGCCAATACACATTCTTTCTGGCCCTAACCATTCACTGTGGTTTTCACTGGTTTCCAATACCCCTCCATACTATTTGTTGCAATAAGCCAAGAAATTAAAAAATCAAATTTGTAATAACTAGACTTACTAAAATCCTTAGGTACTCTCTCCATGCTCAAATGTCTTAGGCTCTACATTAACGTTTCTTTACTCTGGTGTTTGATAATGTTAGACAAAATTTCCAGTATGACATCAGTCATGTCATGCCAATGATAATATTTCCATGTAAAAGAATTATTAAAGTGGCCATTTTTTTTCTGGTTTGAACAAGACTAAAATTCTTTGAATTAAGACTAAAAGCCAGAGGTAACTTTTATTTTAAATTATTAATAACTATATTACTGAGATTGCTGGATTACTTTTCTGGGGCAATGAATACTCGGAACCACCACATTTTTACCAATAAAACTATTTTCCTAGACATAGCACTCCTTGATTAAGCCTACTTCCTATAAATTTACCATAATAAATCATCACAAAGTCTACATATAAATATGACTTAAGTAAAACAGGTTCTATAAAAGCATACTGTATAAAGATTTATAGGCTTAAGTTACAAAGGACTATTTTAGCCCTTATATTATAGCCTGAAAATTGATCTCAGTCTACATCTAGACAGATTAATATGCCCATGCTGGAAAAATTTATAAAGAAATAAGATAAAATTTCCTACCTCTAAGCAGCTTACATTACTTGGTTGTTACATAACCAAAAGGACAAACTAATCATAAAGCAGGAAGCATTTATTTGTGGTGTCCAAGTCTCAGTTTTATCATGCCTCTTTCAAACTGAAAGGAATCCTTATTTTCAAGTAAAACAGATGGGTTAGAAAAGAGTGGGAGGTTACAAAGAACTGAAGAATGCTTGTTGAATAAAAGAAAGCTATGTCAAGAAAAGGAATGGTAAGACAAAATAAATGAGAAAAAGCCAAATTTATCTTAGAATACCTTAAGTTAGACACAGAGGAGGAATTCATAACCATGGACCACAGGGCCAGAAGTCAAAGAAACAGCTCCCAGAGGACAAACAGAAAACCAAAAATCACAGGATAAACAGGTGATTCAAGGTCATAAAGTAAAATACTTGAATGGGCAGGGATCTAATAGAGAACTAAAATAAGATTTTTCAAATTAAGAGCAAAAAGCTAAGGGCCTTTCTGCCCTTATAACAGTAAATTTATATATATAATAAAGTATTAAAGTATTAAAAGTACTAAAATCCAGATACAAATGCTTTAAAGTAAAGGGCTTCTGGAGCCTCCCTGGTGGCCTAGATGTTAAGTCTCAGCACTATCACCCCTATGGCCTGAATTCAATCCCCGGCCAGAGAGCTGACCCACAGCAGACCTCTCCTGTCTCACCCGCTGCTCCCTTCAGCAGTGTATCTCAGTAGATCCGCCTATTCTCCTCACTACTCTGTCTTTGGTGAGTCCTTTCACCTCCCACACCTCTGGCCCGCACCCCAGTTCTTCTTTGCAAAAACAAATAAAATTTTTAGAGAATAAAAATAAAGGCTTTTGGACTCAAAAGGAAGCAATCGTTTTAGTGTAGTAATGTTATGGAAGAAAGAGTAACACCACAGCATAATCATGATTTATCGACCCAAGTAACTGCACACACAGACCCCATGTCCCTTCTCACTCTGCTAAGCCCTGTGTGCACTTGCATTGCTGGTGTGTTCTGTTTCTGCACACACAGGCAAGTGGAGAAGGGACTGAGAGGATTCCTCAGTGAAGAAGTTTCATGGCCCTTTATATCCTTTGACAGTGGCAATAAAGGAGCTACTGGAAATCTAACAAAGATAGGGTTCTGAACTCTGTTTATCCTGAAATCAAGACTGGTGGGTGGATTCTGCCAGAGAGCACCAGAGAGTACCAAGCCCACTGGGGTAGCCAGAGCTAAATGCAAAAACCTTCTGTATTACTTGGAGTCATTCAATATTAACCTTCTATATTTACATTTTCTCTACATCTGCTTGTGTTTCTTGGCCTGAAAATAAATGTGGTAATACAACATTCGTTGTTGAAAAGCCCAAAGTACTTTGCATAACCAACATTTCCTAGCTCCTTAAAAAGTAGATGCATGATAAATATACATGACTGAAAACTAAAGTTGTAACAAGTTAAAAACAAATTTGATGATTATGCTCTTTATTTTATAAACTCTCAAGACAATTCCTTCAATGGAAACAGTTGGAAAAAATCCCTAATTGAAATGCAAATTAGAGAAAGCCACATACATAGAGAGGGATTCTAGAGTCGTGCTGTCCAATACAATCACCACTAGTCACATGTGGCTGCTTGGTGTGAGATCTAATTGATTAAGATTAAATAAAACCTGAAATTCAGCCTCAGCTGCACTAACCACAGCAGCTGTAAGTAGCAACTATGCTGGACAGTGCAAATGTCCATCATCACAACAAGTTCTGCTGGTTAGTGCTGTTCTAGAGAAGTGCTATCTGGAACTGGGAGACAAGCTATATAAAGCCACAATTAACATGTAACCTAATTTCTAACCCAAAGGCCTTTAAGGGTCTTATAAATCATGCCAAGTACTCCTCTATTGCATTTTCTTTTTAAACTGGCCTGCCACATTCTCACTTGGTTAGCAGACAATATTGAGTGAGAATCACTAGTCTCTTGGCACACATTTTATGTGTTTTGGGGAGTAGTTCTCTCTAGTGCTATTGTACTGCTCTTCTGTTTTCATCAGCCATAAGAATGTTGACATTTTATTTTTATATGTATAGATCCGGGTGGCAGTCAATTTTCATTGTAACCGAGAGACTAAAATTACATTTACATGTTCAAATATTCATTCTACACTGGAGATTCAAAGTAACTATATCTTCTATTCACAATAAGTATATTTTCTATTTGCAAACAATTTTTAATAGTAACATTTGAAATTTTAAAATTTTCAACTAAGAAAAACAGATTTCTGCTGTATCAAAACATAGTTTGAAAAGCAATTTTATGGATTCAGAGGCCAAGTCAAGTCTTAAAATTATTTTAAATACCCTGACAATAGTTGTTGACTTCACATTTTGAAGAGGACTTAAGATTTCAAATAATCATTTAAAACTTACTTCAAAATTAAGGTCTCGGATCAAGATATCTCCATTTGGCGTTGCTAAAGGAACATGATCAAATCTGCAGACAAAATTAATAAAAAGAATAATTTTATATAAAAACTGAGGAAATCGAAGCTGAAAGAGAAAGGTTACTATACAATGTAACAAATGTTTACTTTATCGTGCTGAAAAACATTTCCAATACATACCTTATAATGTTATCTGCATTGATGATTTCTCCGGCACCAGGTATTAGGGGAATGGCTTGTGGTCCTTCAATACCTTAAACAGAGAATAATTATCAAAGCACCCAACTGTATCAGCAAAAACTTAACCTATGTGATCTAGCACATCCATACTTACCCTTTTCCTGTTGTGAGACCATTGTGCGTTCATATTTGCCATTATTTAAATCCTTCAGTACTTGCGTTAACTCTGTAATCCGAGCAGTAAAACTGAAATTTAAAAAAAGGAAAACCAATCAAAACACCAAAGGTTATTATAGTTTTTCTTTGTACTTATTTATTCATTTATTACTTATTTCATTGAGCTATGACATTGTATAAGTTCACATCTTTTACTCTATATAAATTTAACTGGTTTCTGAAATTATAATTTAGTTTAAATGAAATAACCTAAAAGAAGTATCATCAACATAAATATAAGTGCTAATATACGTATTTTACTATGTATTTTATTATGTTCCATAGGAGAGCAAAAGGATGGAGATAAAAAAGAAGGAGTCAAAGGACTCTCACCTAAATTGATGTTTCATTAACAGGTAAGCCAAAAAGGTTGTTTGCCTCTAAAATTTTAAGGAAGTTTCTAGTGAAGACTAAAAAAGAACTAGTGCCTAGTACATTCCTTAGACCCAGAGTTTTTCAGGAGTGAGATTTTTATAAAGCCATGTATAAAGTTGGCCTTCTGATCTGAGGAAGGAATTTTTTTTTTTTTTAATAGAGGCATGTTTTATTTATTTATTTATTTATTTGTTTGTTTTGTTTATACATGCACTGGGTACAGTCAGAAGCGTGGGAGGGTGAGAGAATTCACCAGAGCCAGAGCAGGGAGCAGAGCAGGCAGAAGGACCGAAGTACACTGCTGAGGGGAGCAGCGGGCGGCAGGAGAGGTCTGCGCGCCATGTGGGACCCTCCTCCGGTGGCCGGGGAGCAGCCGGGGATCGAACCGGCGCCGCAGAGGCCGCAGGCAGCTTCGCAACCCAGCGCTCAACCACTGCGCCACCGGGGAGGCCCAGGAAGGAATTTTTGTATGTATTAAGAAGTAAGAGGATATTTCTGTGACTAACAAGCAGAAATCTAAAGAAACAGAATCATCCCATGTGCCATGAACTGTGAAGACAATTTATTAACAAGATGGAAGAATGTCAGCATTCTCAAGAGAAAGAAACTCCTCATTACACTTTACAACTTCTATCTTGCTACCTAGCCCTTAACTGCCATAAAAGAGGAGAGGAATGAAAAAAAAAGAAATATGACGATGAATTATAAGACCTGGGAAAGATCTTAAGAAATCCAATTTCTTTAAATAAATAACTTACAATTTAGGGTGTTTTTCATATTATGTTTTTTACACCATACCAGGTCCTTTATATTAGAGCTTGAAATACTGATTAATATCATTTTATGATGTACAAACAATTTTACCAGATAATATGACCATATTTACAACTGCAACTACAGATACTGCCAGGTAACTTTTTATTTTTTTCCCATTAAAATCAATTTCATCTTTGCCCGTCTGTCTTGCTAGGTTGCCAATATCAAAGATCTATGAAAAAAATATATATGGTAGGGCACAAAAATTTAAATTAGAACATTCTATTCACTGACTTAACTTTCTGTGAATTAAGAAAATGGTACCAAGACTCAACACTTCTCAACTGACTGCACCCCAGTGGCCAGGGGGAGACACTTGAGAATCCCTATCCTAGCTTAAAGCTCAAAATAGCAGCTCTAAGGAAACATGGGAAGTTCACAAATTGAAAAATCTTCCTTAATTTTCTACTAAAACTAATGTCAAGAAGTAGAAAATGGGGATTTAGTTACCCCTTAAACTCAATGGAGCCCAATCATTAAGGATGACATATTTCCAAAATTTATTCTCCGCAACTGTTCATTATCACTAATCTTACCCGGCCAGTCGAGTCATTTCACGGCCAGCCAAAACTATTCGACCCAGAGCTTGAGACATTCGCAAAAGCATTCTTCCACTTTGGTAGTACTCCTTAAACAGAAATGAATGTTAACTTCCACTAATATTTCTGGGAGAAAAAGTTAGCTTTTCTATATTTTAATATGTAACTTTTCGATTTACTACTATTATTGGTTGACTACTTTACCTCCAGCAGTTCTGAATGTGTACTCTTGAGATGTCGAGGATGAGACATATCTAGGAAGGGACGACTGACGACTAGGTAACCGACCACAGTGGCAAGATCTGAAAAAGACAGTCAAGATTTACAACATGGACAATATTTCACTTTTTCCACAAATCTTGTTCTACTAACTCTTCTAAAACATACTTACATTTGGCAATTATGCTATCAATGAAGCCCATAGAGAACCGAAACAAAATGAAATTATGTAGGTGCTCCACCTGGCAAAAAGCAAAACCAAAAATAAGTATTTTCTATATACAAAAAAAAAAAAAGAATATACCGACAATGATAAAAAGAAACTGCATAATTTATGTATTCAACAACTATCTAATGAGTGCCCATGATAGCTGATTATTTTGCACTTCACATTTCATTGAGCATGATGCTGATCACAGAGCAGATGCCAAATAAGCTCTTCATGAAACAATTTTTACAAATATACTGGAAATTACATTAAAAATTTTAATGTGGTATCCTCTGCATGTAACAGTACAATGATACTGTAATTACAATGTTGCTGGATACACATAATCTGAAACCGATCAGTAATCAAAACATAAAGAACAAAAGAACAATCTAATGTAGGTGAGACACTAGCTGTCCAGACTGACACTCGATGCACTGCTTTAGGTAGAGACACCTGATCTGTGCCTTCTCTTAGACCTGTACTGGACTCACTGTGAGCTGAGTCCTAATGTAAATCAATGCTCTCGAGTTCAAGTCCATAGCTTTAATCTAAACACGCATTATTTCAGGATCACATGTCTAAAAAAATTTTTTAGTGTAATTTTTCACCTATCAAATTATTCAAAGCCCATCTGATCTGGTACTGGGTTTTAAATCTCATCTGCTTCTACTGTGCTTCCCCTCACTGAGATCCAGAAACACTGGATCATCAAACATGCTCCTGCTTTAAGCTTTTTCCTTGCTGTTCCCTCTGCCAAAATTTGTTACTACCTGAAATCATACAAAATATCCAGTTGTTTACATGTTTATTGTCTCCTCCACTAAAATGTTGGTTTCCTGAGTTCTAAGGTAGTTTGCTCTTAGTACCTTGAGCTAAAGGGCAAAGTCTGGAACATTCATTCAACAAACACCACATGTCAAATACTGTGCTCAGTGCTGGATATGCAACAGGGAACTGAAGTGACAAATTCCCGGAGCTCATTCAGTTCACACTCTAATGAGAGAGAAAAGCTAGAAAATGCAGATAATTATAGATTGCATTACATGCTTTTAAGGAAACAGGTGTTTAAAGCAGGAAACAACTAACTGGTAGAGACCATTCCAGAGTAGGCAAGGTCTGAATAAGATTAACTTTGGGGTTGGAATCTAAAGGAGAGTAAGTGAAGAATAAGCTGGTGAACAGCAGCCCCCTAGAAAATTACCTTAAAAGCATTTTACCAGAAAATACTCTTAAAACTCAGGGATGTTAAATACAAATAAGGCAAATACCCTTACTTAAATTTCTGAATTTATTTTAAATGACAACTTTTAAAAACCACCTCAAATATATATTTAATTTCACAATTTGCACTAAAACATAAGTTTCCTAGAGGCAGGATTTTGTTGCTTATGCCCACCACTGCTATCGCTAGCACCTGGAACATGCACAGGCACCACATTACATTCACTATCTTTTGAATGAATTATAAATAAAAACACCTGAATTCATATTTTCCAAGTGGTAAGTAAACAGAATCTGAAGTATAGTTTTACAACAAATGATGTTTGTAAATTCTAAATCAAGGGTCAACAAACTTGGGCCCACAGTCCAAATCCAGTCTGCCACTTATTTTTATTAATAAAGTCTTAATTAGAATATAGTCATTCCTTTCTGTTTATTGTATAAGTTCACTTTGAAATGGCAGAATTGAACAGCTAAAAACCATATAACCTGAAAAATCAAAACTATAGATGTACTGTCTTGCCCTTTACAGAAAAAGATTGCTGATCCCTGCTTTAAATAATAATCCTCACACTATTTTCATGAATGCTACAAGAAGAAATTCTGACTCTAGGAATCGCTATATTTATCACCAAATAAGACTGCTAAGCAGCCTCTGTAAATACATACTGACAAATCATTTTACTAAATCTACCTACTTTTATAAATGGGCAGCTTCATATATTGACATGACCATTTTATGATCATATTTCTAATGATAATACAGTATAAAATCTTTTATTATTTAAAAATAAATATAATTAGAGATTAAAGATGTATATGTTACTTGGCATAGGCCATAAAAACATCTTCCCATAAAAATGTGAGGCTCAAGCATGTTTCCTTACCAGTTTTCGGAAGACTGAGTGGATCGTCTGCTTTTCTCTTTTATTCCCGTTGTAAAAGGCAATTTCTTCACTATTAAGGAAAATAATTTAGCAATTAATTTCAATGTTGCCTAAGTCTAACAACTATTGAAATACAATATTTGATGACTGAACATTTGTATTTAAATGGACACTTGGTGACAGTCTCTAGGATCCCCAACCCAGCTGGTCAGAGCACAGGAATCCGCACCTGATATGCAACCTTGCTGGAGAAAATGGGCTGGGTTAAGGATCAGAAATTTGAATAAAGAAGTCAGGAAAAAAAGAAGGAAGTTGCCATGATACACAGAAGGTCTGGGACAGTCATCATAAACTATAAACTGAATACAGACTCATACTGGAAAGAGGAAAAACAACAGCTAGAAAAGAGAGGCGCTGCCATGACAATCGGCCTTTCCATGACAGAAAAGCACACTAAGTCCTGAAGGCACAGTGCCTGCTCCCAGGGGGCTCGCTGCATGGTCATTCTTTTCCTGGAACCCTGTTTTATCCTCACTACCCCTCTTCCATGAGCCACAAGGGTCACAAGAATTTCGATAGAAAAAGGGCATTTTTATAGATGACGAAAAACAGTATGGTTAAGCAAATATTCAAAAGTCATACAGCAAGCAAGTCAAGACTCTAACTCATGCTTGATTGTGAAATTTAGTCTTCCTGCTCTACTCAGTATGATGTCGACTTTCCCAGCAAAGAGTCTCTTTTAGCAGAGGACAGTAAAGAGCTATACCGCAGTCTAGCAGGCAAAGTTAAAATAGCCTTCAATAAGTATGCAATGTTTCCTTTTCCTTTAAGAGTTTTGGTGAAGGGCCTCCCCTGATGGTGCAGCAGTTGAGCGCTGGGCTGCGAGCTGCCCACAGCCTCTGCAGCACTGGTTCAATCCCCGTTCAATCCCCGGCTGCCGGCAAGGGTCCCACAAGGCGCAACAGACCTCTCCTGCCACGCCCGCTGCTCCCTTCAGCAGTATATTTCATCAGTCTGCCTGCTGTTTCCTGCTCTGGCTCTGGTGAATTCTCTCACCCTCCCGTGCTTCTGACTGTACCCAGTGCTTATATAAATAAATAAATAAATCTTTAAAAAAAAAAAAGTTTTGGTGAAGTTTATATTCTAATCCAGCATGTATCTGTATCATTCCCATAAAAAAAAAGGTAGCTCTGACTTAAACCCTTTCATGTAAAATTTACTTTCTGTTAAGATACACATTTGACCTATGTTTCAGTTACCTTACCACAGTGCTACAGAGTCCCAGTGTATCAGAATCCCAGTTCAAGAACACAATTCTATGCGTGTGTTTATTTTCCTTACTTCCCTCTACCTCCTCAATAAAAGCTTATAGAAGATGATGAGGCAAGAATTCTAACACTCCTATACTAAGTCACTTTGGCCCAACCTTAGACCTGAAAGGAAGAAAACCATCCTAGAATAATGATGGCTGCCAACCAAACTCTATCCTCTTCCACATCTTTCTCCCTAAGAAAACCCAACTTTCTTAAAGCTATCTGCCCTTTTCTGTGCACCCAAGTGCTTTATGAGTGGCCTAGCCACATCCACTGGGTATGAGTTCCAAGTGGTCTAAGGCAATTGCTTTGCTGGAATTGATTTACATATGAGCAATTCTGGTGAACGAAATGTGAAAGCAAGTGTGTGACAGGGCTTCTGGGAAAGTTTCCTTGCTCTTTTAATAAGCTAGCAGAAGAAATAAATGGGCCATTTTATTTCTGGATTTTTTGCAGGGGAGGAGGGGCAGTGAGATCTGGAACTTCTTTTGCCACCCTGCAATCACAAGAATTAGGCTGAACAGCATACAAAAGAGAGCAGTCAAATGAACAAAGAAGAGCCAGATCCCTGATCATACCTGGCCTAGAGCTGCTTTACCTTCAGAGTTCCTAAGTTAGTAGCGAATAGCTTTACTTTTAGAACATTCAGAGTCAGGGTTTTCTACCTTTCTGCAATAGGAAACATTCTGGCTGATACCATCTTTCCTTCCCCTGGTAAATCACCTCTCATACTAAACTGCCTATTTCTCAGCTACCCTAGAATACAAAAACTTATAAAAGTGGCACCATTTTAAGCAATCCAAAGAAATAAAGGAAGAGGAAGCTGTTCAAAGAGTAATTTCCCAATAAGTAATTTTGTAAATGCCTGTAAAGCAGTTAAAAAAAAAAATACCAGGACCCTCAAAATAATTTAAGGTTGACACATCAACATGAGAAAAGTTATTACACATCTGCTAGCCACCCAACACTGTGCTGAAAGCTTTATATATATTTCATATTTAATCCCCACAACAATCCTATTATAAACTATTTAAAAGTGAGACTATATGTAACTTGCTAAAAGTCCTCCTATTATAAACAAAACAGTAGAGCTACTTGGGCCTCCCCTGGTGGTGCAGTGGTTGAGCTCTGGGCTGTGAAGCTGCCCGCAGCCTCTGCAGCACCGGTTCAATCCCCAGCCTCCGGTGAGGGTCCCACATGGCACACAGACCTCTCCTGCCATGCCCGCTGCTCCCCTCAGCATTGTACTTCGGTCCTTCTGCCTGTTCTGCTCCCCACTCTGGCTCTGGTGAATTCTCTCACCCTCTCGCGCTTCTGACTGTACCCAGTGCTTGTATAAATAAATAAATCAATCTTAAAAAAAAAAAAAAAGTAGAGCTACAAAGTAACTTTCCAAAAGTCACATAATACATAACTGTTAAGCAGATGAGGTAAATTTTGAAAATTAGTCATGTGGGCACCAAAGTTCAATACTTTTTTCTATTTTGGATTTTTAAACTATCTGGAAAATAGGTAGAAAGACTGAATTGCTGAATACACCAAACACATGGTCTCAAAATAAAAATATTTGTGAATAAACTGAAACAAAATTTTCTTTGAACATATACTGTAAATGTATATTAACTTAAACTATATCTTGACTATGTTTAAAGTGAAACTAATGGAACATTAGTCACTGAAAGAGATGAATCAAAGATACTGCATGCTTAACAAGATGGAGTTAAAATGTGTAGAATTACTACTTTATAAAACTAGTATCTTTCATGATGAATATTTATAAAAGAAGTAAACACAAACACACACAATTTCAGTCAGTGGTACAAGACTTTTTAGAGTCACTTATATGACCAATATCCATTTAAAATGAATTTTTAGTGCAACTAAACACCTTTAATACAATTCTCCTTACCTGTTTGTGATGAGCCGGGAATTAACATATCTATATTCTCCTTCATACTTTTGCTCAGTTATTGTCATCTTACCAATGGGTCTTCTAAGTCGAGTTAGGAATAACCCAGACATGACCAAGTAAGCCATCATGCTTGCTGGGCCCTATTATAAAAGGGAAAGAAGAACGGACAAAGTTCAAGCATCCTCTTTTCACCAGATGCAACAGGTACAATTTCTGTGACATGCACAATTTCTCTCAAAGTCCAGTGACTTTGAGAGAAATCATTCTTTTAACTAATTATTTCCCCTGAAATGTTTTCTTTCTGCCAAGATATACACTTTTACTACTCATCTACTCTCCTCCAACCACTGCAGCTCATCCTCTAATTCTCCTGAAATTTGCTCAGCAAAATATTCCCAGGTGAAGTCATCACTCTGCTATGGCATCTAAAAATTCTTGTGGAGGGCCCTTTGGGATAGTCTCTTAAGAATCCACAAAAATTGGGCCTCCCCGGTGGCACAGCAGGTTGAGCGCCATGCTGTGAAGCTGTCTGCAGCTTTGGCAGTGTGGGTTCGATCCCGGTCAGCCAGCAAGAATCCCACATGGTGCCGCAGACCTCTCCTGTTGCGCCCGCTGCTCCCCTCAGCAGTGTATTTCTGTCGTCTGCCTGTTCTGCTCCCTGCTCTGTCTCTGCTGAATCCTCTCACCCTCCCGCACCTCTGGCCTGTACCCCAGCTCTTGTATAAAAATAAATAAATTGAAAAAAAAAAAGATTCCACAAAAACTGTCAGACCTCTTTTTTCCCTTCTCGTTGAATGTTACAAATCCCTAAGACTTATTCCTTAGTTCTTTTTTCATCCCAAATTTTGTTTAGTCCGTCACACATAAGAACCCAAGATACTGTCTCCAAATACATATATACATCTTCACCTTATTTGTACAACCTCAAGCTCAATTCCCCAAAGAAGTTATAGCTACCTTTCCATTGTCATACATCTTGCTTCTAGTTGTTATAGTTTCTAACTTGGTAAGTGGCCTCTTTACTCATCAACCACTCCAAGAAGGAATGTTCATGCTTACCTCTCTAAGACCAGTGTAGGCATGTTCCCCATTCCCATATTTATTCTATGTTCTGTCATACTGAAATAACTGTTTCCTGACCATGCCACTCAATGAAGTTGTTCTTATGTCTGACAAGCCTGCTTATCCTCCTCAAAACAGCTCAAAAATTACCTCTAAACATTTCTGGACACCAAATACTTGATTCAAACTTCTATTACTAGACATATACAATGCACTGTAATTGCTTGAACATCTACCTCTTTCACCAGATTGTGATTCCTCTTCAGCAGGAATTGTCTTACTCATCTTTTTAATACCTACTATGTAGCACATGTGTAGAATACAGTATGTGGGTCAAGTTTTTTTTAATTAAATATGATTGATTCAATGCATAATTTAAGTATGATTGATTTATACTACAAATAAGGGCAAAGAGGTGTAACTAATATATAGTTTCTACCTTCAAGAAATACAGAATGAAATAATGGAAATATAAGGAGATATATTTAAGTATTAGAAAAATATAATAAGTACCAAAATATAGCATAGAGACAGAAGGAATTAAGATTATTCACTTGCTTATAACAAAAACATGGTATACGATTAAACTGAATAGTGGATAGCAAAATATTAGGAAGACAAGAAAATTTTTAATAACTGCTCTCTATATTCTAAGGGAACAAAGCCACTATAAAAAAATTTTTATTTAATCAAATAGAAATGTATATACATACTCATAAAAAACTGTCTCCAAATTGCATTTTAGACATTATTTTAAAAAAGAAAGTACATTTATGTTCAATGTTTAAGTACTTCTGATTATTAATACCACGAGAATTTTCCAAGAATCTAACTTGAAAAATTAAAAAGGCAAATTAGAATACTTTTCAAATTTCTAGTACAGTATTATTTCATAACAAGACTTTATTAGATATATCTCATAAAAACATTCTTTGAGATACACACAAATCATCCAATCATTCACAACAGAGTATTAAAGCTATTTTAGAGACAGAAAAGTAAACCCACCTGAGCTCCTATTGCACTTGTTAACTTGAAGATATACAAAACTATGTCTAAAAATGGCTGCAAAATAAAGAGAAGTTACAGAATTAAAAAGAACTGGATTGCCTGGACTGATGGTTAATACAACATGTTATATGCAAAATGATGTTCAACATGTAACATGTAATTGTCAACATGTAGAGTTTTCTGTACTATAACAGTACATGTATCAATGAATATATAAAAGACACAGTTCTTATTCTCAAGAAACTTTAAATGGAGACAGGCTGACCAATATTTACTGACCATCAATTGGGAAAAACACATCACTTTCTATCCAGTAAGAGATCTCTGCTATGACATTTAATGTATTAGTAACTTAGTAATTTCTAAATGTAGTATAAAGAGACTACATGCATTAATAACCCAAGTTGTAATCCCAAATATGCTACCAACTTCTCTGGTAGCAGAAAATGGAATATATTTTTCACCCACCCATAAAAAAAGAGGCTCTTCCCACTCCTAATACCATTTGATTCTATTACTTTATCACATCTATATGTTGAAATAATCTAGTGAACTTAAGAATCTAATTTCCTGATATAAAATTCAGAGCTAAAAAAAAATATATTAATGTACTGCTCTTCACATAGAGTGACAACTCAAATGACATAACAACTGTACATATTTTGATGTGTTTTTCAAAAAATGCAAATTGCGTTCATTCACTGTAAGTCTACAATCACCCCTTTCTGACTATTATCTGCATTATTACTAGGAGAGATGACTTGATTTATTAATTCAATTGTACTAAGATGAACTCTTCCTTTTTTGTCTCATAAATTATCAATAAGCTAGACACACCTGTTAAATTCAAGTAGATTTAGAAGTTATTAACAAAGGCAGTAATTGAACTTAAGTCAGAGTTCAAATATGCTGAAATACACAGCACCACAATTAATTTTGTTATCTCTCTTGCAATATGACAAAATCTGAGTGACAGATATGCTCAAATACCAAGATGTCTACAGAATTACATAAAAAGTTTTATATACATCTCCCCCCAATACACATACAGAAAGAGAACGACCTTTAAACATGATGATAAGAGCAGTAAAGAAAACTAAATTACTGAACCATTTATAATTGTCAGAGCCTGAGAGCTTGGGAGGAGTTAGTAATAGTTCCTGGAAAGCTAAATAAAGCAAAATGTCTGACATGAAGTGAGTAGGTTTAGCAGTGGCCTATGAAGGAGGGGGGACGGTTAATGGATACAGGTCCTAAGAACTGCCCGTCCTCTCTCCAGCCCCATGGTTGAGAGCAAAGGTGGGACGCAGCCCCTTTGGATATGAGGTTTTCTTCTCAAATTTGGATATCTAGATCCAGTATAGTCCAGTTTGAGATCAGACAGTGATGTGGGCTGGAGTGGGAAAAGGGGCATGAGAAGAAGAAGGAAGGGGATGTTGGGTAGACAATCTTGTAAGTTCCCACAGTTACGTACTGTGAATACAGGAGGTAATGGCTTAACAAGAAGACTGCAGCAAAAGCTCTAAGGGTGGTGAAATGAGACGAGTTAAGTAAGAATTGAAGAAATTAGCAGGAAAAAGAAAACTGGTTAAGGCAAGAGATTTGGTAATATTACAGGAAGGGAGAATAATAGAAAACTAATCTAATATCTTGTGAATTTTTTTTTGACTACTGCTTTTATGATCTACTAGAATTAGAGATACTGAAACAAGAAAAAGGGCAGGAAGAAGCCCCTAGCCTGTTAAATGGAAGTGAAATTGGAGATCTAAATTGACTACCTAGCAATTGCCAAAAGCAAGCAGAGAGATATTTAAATTTCTGTTGTTTCATTGAAACAACAGAGGCTTCAAAATTTTGAGGCTTCAAAATTCTTATTAAATCTTTAGAAAACACTACATTCTCAGTTCTTGGTCAAAGCACTCACAAAAAAAAATATTAAAAATTAAGTGATTGCATTTAAAAATTACTATAACAACTCTCATTTTCTCATGGAAACATTAAATATATGCTCTTGTTAGAGTCATCAAATCAATTTTACACTAACTTGTTTAGATTCAAAATTCAACAAATCAGCAAATAATAAAACCAAGAAACTTACCTTACTGAGATTCGAATACAGATCAACTACACTGTTACAAAATTTTTCTACATCTTGTGTGAGCAGCTGGTCTGGATTAGCTATTCTGTTGTCCAGATTTCCCATTTTATAATACGTGAATGCTCTAAACAGCAGTAAGAAAATTACTTTAAAACACATGATTTTAAAAAATGACAACAAAATCACATTATACTACCTACTACAAATTCATAAAAAACAAAAAAACTTGGACCTGGAGAGGTTCTATAGATTTTCCTAATTTATCTCAGCACTAAAGAAAGCAAATCCACAGAATAATAACCTCCCAACTGAAGAGCCAGGTCTAAATTCCAAATAGTTCAGGTCTTTCCCTACACAATTCTGGGTCTAAGAGCAATCTTCTTGAAAAACATATCCAATAAAAAAGAAAAACTTCCACATCTCAATATCATGAATATTACTGCTCAATTTAAGAATTATTAATATAGGGCCTCCCCTGGTGGCGCAGTGGTTGAGCACTGGGTTGCAAAGCTGCCCGCAGCCTATGCAGCACTGGTTCGATCACCGGCCACCAGGTGAGGGTCCCACATGGCACACAGACCTATCCTGCCACCCGCTGCTCCCCTCAGCAGTGCATCATCAGTCTGCCTGTTCTGTTCCCCGCTCTGGCTCTGGTGAATTCCCTTACCCTCCCGCACTTCTGACTGTACCCAGTGCGTGTATAAATAAATAAATAAATAAATAAATCTTTAAAAAAAAAAAAAAAAGAATTATTAATATAAAAATAGGTAAACTTACTGGAGATACTCCTCATAGAGGTATTTCGTTAGTCTTACTCGGAAGCACAGTTTGAGCTCATTTAACCCAAACTTCAAGAAATTATTAACCAGAGCTATCTAAAACAAACAAACAAATACATGTTAATTCATTTTACATCATTTCTACTTATTAAATTGTCATTTATATATTTTATCAGTTGCTATGTCCCAAATCCTATGATTTTTATAACTAAATTGGTATCAAGTTCTAATTCAAATATAACTGGCTATATTACCCTGATATGCTAAATTTTACTAGGAACTATATTTTAGAATACATTGATATCATTAATTATGAGAAGTAACTTACAAACAAAACATCAAATCTTTCACCTTTTTATCCATTGTGAAGGACCTGCATTTAGGAGTCCTGATACTTATGTTATACTATCAGCACTACAATATTAGACAATGGAATTCTACACACACTGTACTTACATATGTTTAAATTGTATGTTTTATATCAAACTGCCATTTTTCAGATTGATCCAGAGTCACCGTACTATTCTTTTCCATTGTTATATTAAAATACTTCCTTAGCTCCAGATTCATCTACATAAAAATTTTCTCAAACATGAAAACACTGCTCTTCTGTTCAATCTCAGTCTTTGATATCTACACCACTTATCTCAGTTTCTTTTAAAAGGCCTAAAAACTATGTTCATTCACAAGCCTTATTAAACTAGAATATCTGATATATTTTCTAAATAGATTTTTCAATTAAGCTTTTTTATTCCCACATTTATATACTAAAATACTTATAATGCCACGAATAAAGAGGCAAATTAAGAAAATCACTTGTTTTAGACCACTTATTTTTGTTTTATATAAATTCTAATTTAACATAAACTACATTAACTAGCTCACATTACTATAATAGTTTAAGGTCTAAAGCAATGCTTACCAACTAGGGTGGTTTTGCTCCCCAGCTCCCACAGGATATGGGACATAGTTTGGAGGCATGCTGGTTGTCACAACTGGAGGAGCAACACTAATGCCATCTAGTGGGATGCTAGCAGACATTCAAGAAACTCTGACCTACAGGTTGAGGGGGGAAAATTTCCACCTGGGAATACTACAAGTGAAATGAACCAAAAGCAATTTCTCTTAATTTTTTCTAGCTAGTGTAAAGATTTACATTTAAAATTTCTGCTCTAAGTTATAAACTAAACTTGAAATAGGAACTTAGTATCATAAATCTTTAAAGAACTTATTAAGTAAAAAATTCTTAAAGATTTTTGGCACGATTTGAACTCTTCCCTATGCAAAGGTTTCAAAGAATTACACTTACAAGAGGCATGGCAGCGATGAAGTTGAATAAGTATTTCTTGAAATCTTTTCTGCTACGACCAATGATACCACTGCAAACCAGCACATGCAATGCATTAGTTGCCAAAGATGCAAAACTTATTAACATAAGAAAACTTCTGTAAAGCTCTATTCAAGTCTTAATGAATCAAAAGAATACAGAAAAAAGGATGTTAAAAACATTTTCTTACAAAAACGTTTCAAACTTTTGAAATTTTATCACACTGCATAGCTTGCTTTGGAAATCATTTTATAAAAAGCAAAGGTAAATTAGAATGGTAACTGGCTCTTTCCTTTAAAAAAGGCTTAACCTGCAACAAAAGGAGTTCAGATAGAAAAGGGACAATTATAAAGATGCAGGACTGGATTACTGGGAATGGATAAAACAAACTAGCGTTTGTTTGTTTGATTTTTTAATGAATTAGTGACATGGAGCTGTACTAACAGAACAGTAAACTTTTTCTACAAAGGGCCTAGAATATTTTAAGCTTTGTGGGCCATAAGGTACAACTATTCGATTCTGTTATCATAGAATTAAAAAGTCAGGAATGACATAGGCTGAGTTTTAATACAATTTTACCAAAACACATGGTAGTGGGGTTTCACCTGTGGATCCCACTTGATTGGCTGGGGGACTAGATAAACAGGCAGCAGATCAGCGGGCCTTCTCAAAGCATCAGAATGATTCTGTAGAGCTAAGATCTGTTCACACACTTCAACTAGACCAGCTACTCTTTTATCTTTTTTTTTAATGTTTTACATATTTATCTGGTTTTAAAATACACATTTAGAAATTATTTAAAGTGAGGGGTACTCTGTTTTGTTTAAAAAGTTTGAAAACCATCTGTCACGTAAGTATCTTTAAATACCATCTCTTTATTATCTATGAAAAGAGGTAAAATTTATTTGTTTACACACTTTTAAGTAACATTTATTAATATCCCCAAAACCTATTTTGAAAAACACTGCACTAAGTGATTTAAACCTAGCTCTACACACAAAAAAATGACTGGTAGCTGATATAGAGAAATCATTTGCCTTAAATGAATAACATCAAGTAATGCCAATGGGCCTATTAAAAAGAAAGTTAAATTTGTGAAAAACCTGTGTTAAACAATCTAGTGTCTTTTATCAAAGGCCTTCGCAAAACTCCTACTGTCTCACATGTACACTGCATTATCTATGAGCACTGGCAGCACATAGCATTTCCCCCATCCTAACTAAGATTCTAAAGAATATACTTTGGGAAATGCTACTTTAGGCTGATAGAAGAACTAATACTTCGATTCTGATATAATTCCTAAAAAGTTTCGAAAAGTTGACTACAAAAAAAGTTAAAACAGAACCACACAAAATGTTGTTTATAGCAATATGACTATTAGAGACAAGATACAATCAAGACAGTACAAAAGAGGGTTAAATTAAAATTGTTTGAAACAAACTTTACATAAATCAAAGTGCTTTAGTGCTGCCCAAGCTGTAAAACACACACAATTATAAAACGTTGGTAACGCACGTGCTGTCATTCAGCAATGGTTTACCATTGGAGAAGCAGCTATAAATTTAAAAAATGGTTTCCTGAATAAAGTCGTATCTCTGCTTATTATTCCACTGCAAGAGAAAAGTAATAATTACCTAAAGTACAGTAGATCTCATTTTATAGTAGCCCTAATCATCTTTTTTTTTTTTTTTTTTGGCCAGAGGTACAGGTGTGAGAGGATTCATCAGAGACAAAGTTGGGAGCAGAACGGATCCACTGTTGAGGGCAGCAGCAGGCGAGACAGGAGAAGTCTGCTGCTCCATGTGGGTCAGCCCCCTGGCCAGAGATGGAACTCGTGCTACAGTGGCCATGGATAGTGCTGACACTTAACCCCTTGTGCCACAAGGGAGGCCCATCGTTATTATTTTTAATTGCATTACTTCATATTGAAAAGGTTCACACCTTTTCAGACATAAGTTCCCATATCCCACCTACCACCAAAGCACCCATGATCCTCTTCCATGGGCCACTGGACCCTCCGATCCCTTTCCCTTACTCTCCCTCTCTGGAAGCCTCAATTCTTCAGTCAAGATTTCTGAGTTTGTTTTGATTTAGTTTTGTCTGTTCCTTTGTTTCCACATGAGTGAAATCATCCAGAATTTCCTTTCTCCTTCTGAATTATTTCTTAGTATAAAATTCCTTTCACTTCCATCCATGTTATTGCAAATGGAAAGATTTTATCATTTTTCAAAGCTGAATAGTGTTCCATTGTGCTTATATACATCTTTATCTAGTCCTAATGCTTTCATGAAAGACAATTCAGTAAGTTTTAATGCTACCTGTAGTCAAATGGCTGAAAATAAAATTATGTACATGATTACATACAGCAACAAGGTATGAAGGAATCTCCTCCCTATCATGGGAATTACTAGTTTCTACCTTAAAGAAGGGAGTCTGTCCTATTAAGATTTCCCCATACTTTAAAGTCATTAACCATTGCTAACAACCCTAAAAGATGCATAGAATATCAAAATGAAGTACATTAAGAACCATCATTATCTCTTCAAAACTTTTTTCTTGAGCAGAAATATATGAATCTAATCCTACTTTGGAATATGCAAAAAGGAAAAGACAGATAAATCAACTTAACAAAGTAACTTTAGTAACAAATTAGATTGCATTAATTTTTCAAATAAAATTGTTGCATATTAAAAATTCACAAAATTGTAAATCTTTAATTTAACCAAGAATCAAAGCTCTTATACAGAACAGCTCAGAAATACTGAGGGCCTCCCTCGTGGTGTAAGGGGTTAAGACACAACCTATGAACCTATCCACAGCCACTGAAGCACAAGTTCAATCCCCAGCCAGGGAGCAACCCACATGGCACAGAAGACCACTCCTGTCTCGCCCGCTGCTCCCCTCAGCAGTGTATTTCACTCAGTCTACCTGTTTTGCTCCCCATTCTGTCTCTGGTGAATCCTCTCAACCCCCACACCTCTGGCCTGTACCTCAGTTCTTATATGCATAAATAAATAAATCTTTAAAAAAAATACTGAGAAAGTTACCAATTAAGTTTAAAATGACCATTTTATAACTGTTGAACTTAATGAATAAGGAAGTTGCTCATCATAGGATTCTTGCAACTTTTCTATAAGTTTATATATTGTAACAAAATATTTTCTTAGAAATTCAATTTTTTTTTCATACTAAAATTTAAAACTCAGTATCCAACAGGATGATTACTCCATCTAGTAGAATAACAAGTAACTTCTCTCTTGTCCATCATCACCAATTGTCCATCATCAGCTCATCTTAATGCCTTTTTCCAGGGTATTAAGTATTTGTGAAAAGAAATATTAGTACCTATTCCATTAAAGCTGCAAATCCCTAGTTTAGAGGAAAAGTTTTTTCTTTTGGATTATATAAACATGAAACCACAAAACCAGAATAAAAGGGGGAAACTTTCAAATATAAACTATGCTGTATCATTGAAGATGCCTGAATCAGAACACCCTAAGACTCTTACAACTGGTTTATTAAGATGCCCCACTCTGGCATGCAGAGTATTTGTAGCCAAGAGCAATGAAATCCCTTAAGACTGAGGAGAAGCTACTGTCATTGCCTAAGACCTTCATCCCTCCGATAGAAGAAAGAGATCATCTCCTAAGTTTCTGCTCTTTTCCCAATCAGAAAAGCAATCACTGCTCCCCATTTAATGACCTAGAAGAATGTCGTTTGGGGGTCTCATCCATCTGTTGGATTATCAGTAAGCATGTCCGCTCTATCTAAGAATCTCATCTATACTGTAAGGATAAGGTAACCCTTTCTTGTCCGTCATGTGAAATGGGACCCCAGCCCTTGATGCCCCAGGTCTCTAAAGGCAGGATAGATATCCCTGGTCCACTCCATTATTCTTTCAGATTTACAACCATTTAAAGTGTCCACACACCTCTATAGCTTTTAGTTACATGCTGAAATCTTTAATATCTGAAATAATAAAATACTAACAAACTGGGTTTCAGATTTCTATTAAGATGCATTTCAAATACATAAATAAAATTTTATCGTTTTAATAAATAAATAAACCTTTGTACATGTGTTATTAAATTTTGGTCTTATCTCCTACCAATCTCTTTGATGTTAATTTGTTTGTCAATGCAGCTTTAGAAGAATCCCAATTGGGTGGGGAAATTTCCTCTGTGTCCTGACACCATGATTGTGCATGGTCCTTTATATGTTATATGTGGCTAACTCTACACAGATGCCTAATATGATGTTGTTCATAATACAAGTAACCTGCTTATTTTTGCCACAAGTAATTCACAATGCTATAGTTAGAGAGTCTACATTCGTACTAGCAGATATGGGCACTTAAAATCAAAAAGTAATTGCAAAAGAAAATATAAAATTCTATAATCATGTAGAAGAACATAAATATCTTCTTAACATTAAATAGGTATACAAAGAACGCAAAGGACATGTACACACAGCTCACAAAAACAAATCGATCATCTGGTATACTATACTATAGGAAGAAACAAACCTTTGAATTATGTTTACGCTTAACTCTCTTAGTATCTGTTGAAGGATTCCTCACTAGGGCACACTACAAAATAGCCAGATCCCCACTACAAACACCAAGCCTGATAATCAACAAGTCCTTAATTTGACTTCTAGACAAGTTTTTCAGGTCTTCACTTTTAAGTATGAACAAACAGCTAGGAGTCACAGAAAGTCTCTAAAGTAAATGACAAAGATCAGAAGCACAAAGGACCATGAAGGAAAGAGAAATTCAAAGAACTAAAAAAAAAGTCATAGATTTGAAAGAATAATTGCTATAAAAATGAATATTCACACAAAAAGACAGCTCTTGGAAATAGTCACAACAAGTAAAAATTTACTGCAGGATGAAGCTTAAAGAAATTTCCTACAATTACAGAATGAAATGTAAGAGATGAAAATAGTGGGAGAATTATAAGATAGTCAGATGATCAGTCCCAGAGTTCCAACATTCAGCTAGCAAGGATTCCAGAAAAAGTACAGAAAGAATGGAGAATTTTTTTTAAAACAAAACTTCTCAGCAATGACTTTCTAGTTTAAAAAGAACCCATATAGTGCCCAGCACAATGAAAAACAAAATTTATACCAACATTCAGAAAAATTCCCAAACACCAGAAATAAAACATTAACAACAAATAAATGATCATAAAAGCATCCAAAAAGAAGGCGGAGGATCTAAGGCAGAACAGTCAGCACAGGAGTGAGATTTAACTCAAAGTGAAGTTAGATGGGGAGTTGAACTTTGGCTATGTGTTAGAATCATCTGGGATGTTTCCAAAGTGATGACTAATTGAATCATAATCTCCTGGGGGAGCCCTAGGCACAGTAATCAAAATTCCCCAGATAATTCTAATCATCCTGCAGCCCAGGGTGAGAACCACTGAACTCTATTGTAGGCAACAGGGTGGTGTTTTACAAGTATTGAGGAAAAGTGATTTCCAGCTTGGAATATTTAAAGAACTAAATTATCAACCAAGTGTGAGAGAAGAAAGACTTTATCAGATCTACAAAGTCCTAAAAATTTATTGCCCCCGTACCCTTTCTCAGAAAAAGACTGCATCTGCCAAAATAAGAAGTAAATTGAGGAAGAAGAAAAACAAGAAAAAACAGGTTATTCAATACAGAGTGAAAGATGAAAGAAATTCTTGGTATCTTAATAAAAGCAAATTCCTAAATAGCATGACTGCTATTTAGTGTGCCTACCATGCCATCAATCCTGGTTAGAGCAGGAAAGCAGGAAACTAGCAGGAGATAGAAGCTGGGCTGGTACTTGGTGTGTCTGACCACATTACAATACTGAGAAGATTTTACAGTATCGCCAATAAACTTGAATTAGTAAGAAATGAGCAAAAAAACTAATGCTATTAATAAAGTTAAATTATATATCAGGACCACAAAATGGAGCCCACCCCGGAGGCCTGGTCTACATCACAAATCTCAGCCCACACTTTCAGGAAATACCTCACTGCAAACAACCTAACATATGCCAATCACAACCCTCCAACACTCAGCGTTAGCTAGAAAATAGGACCCGCTAGTCTATAAGGAAATTTCTGGTTCATGGCCTGTTTCTGTGTTGCATCTTCTAAGGTTCTAAATAACTCTCACTCTTGCCCAAAATCCATTGTGAAGAGAGATCCACTCCTTGTGAGGACCCAACCAATTGACTTTTCCCTTGGGCAAAGGACATGAACCTGGTTACTAAATTATTTTATCTTTGTCATTTCATACTCCCAAAGCACACCATGTCTCAGCTGTAAACAACAGTAAAAATCATGTAAGCAGTAAATTCTGACTTCACAAAATATTGTGGTATAACAACACTGGGGGTGAGTGTGGGAGTGTACAGGATCTCTTTCTCATGTTCCAAAGTAGGAAATGAATACATACTTTTGAAACTGAAAAATCTAGAAACAGTAACACAAGTATGCTACACTGAAATGCTGAGATAAAATAATAAAAGGAATAGAAAACAAATGGCCCGGAATGACAGTGACAGCGGGAGGAATGGGACACATGTGTCTATGATCAAGTCCTTGTGTATGAACTATGCTCATGAATGACTTTTTAAGCTCTTTATATATTACTTTGATTAAATAAAAAGGCACAGGACTAACTAACCAAAGATTTCAGGGAGGCCTGAGTTGAATCTAAACAATTCACACATATTCAGAGGCATAAGGAATCTTCATTCTCCTTGAGAGAAGAGTCAGAAATCGTGGGTAGCATTCCTCCTTTTCCTACACATCATCTAAGAGACATATCAAGGATATGAGGAAAAAGCATTCATTTCAAAACGGGAACAAATAAAAATTTTAAGCGCTGTCATCCAAAAAGTTATCTTGGATGATGTATTTCAAGAAATTTTCTGATAGAATATTACACACCAGGAAACAGAATTCTAAGAAAAAATTTACTTTGACATTCAAATTGGAATTACAAAAAATAAATTCTTAATATTAAAATAAATGCTAATATCCCAATTGTTATTTTTAAGTATTTTAATTCAAAAGTTATTAACTGTAGCGATCAATAATATACTATACATGTATAAAGATGACAATGAAGAATATATAAAGTGTTAAGTTTAGAAATTGAAGAAAATTTTGTAGGAATTTTTTTCCTTTTAATAAATAACCTCAATGTTATTCCCTGAGATTTTCTGCTTTATTTTCTTCCAAATTAACTCATCATTTCAACTTGCTGGCTTTTTTTAAACCCAAGCTACAGCAGTCATTATACTGCACTTTAATTTTCTGTTTAATTGTCCCTAAGGCCACAATAAAGTGTCGGCTTGGCAGGGCATGGCATTGGGTCTCTCCATTCACCAGTATGTCATCATCAGAGTGCAGCTGAGTGTCTGGTGCACAGGAGACACTCAAGAAATACTTGCTAAGTAATGAAAAAATACATCATTTGTATTAATTAGTATTTGTACCTAACTTAGAGTTCATTTCTTGCTTATTAAGACAATGCTTAAATATGAGACAAACCAGTGTCTCACACACAGAGGAAGATAGAAGAAAAGTACCTTTCAATGAGCGTCCCATTTTGAATCATCCAAACGTCACAATATGTTCGAGATACCAGCATAACAGCAATAAGAATCAAGTAACCTGTCTAAAATAAAGCAAGTATAGTAAATTAAGTAAATGCATCTTAGAAAGTCAAAAGAAACATCCTTGGTCAAGATTTTTGGTTTCTATTTTTTTTTATTTTTTTAATATTTTATTTTATATAATTCTTATTCCATTTTTCATTTTGGTTATATTCCCCATACAATTGCGCCCCCCCCTTATTTTGACCCTAATCCTTCCTCTTCCCGCTCCCCCCTTTCCGCCCCCGCCACCATAGTGTGTCTCTGGTTTCTAAACTCAAAAAGATTTATTCTAGCTTTAATACAGTTGTCTAACATTTTACTTAAAGGCAATTTTTAATGGAAAAAAACATACAGATTATGTAATCTTTCTCATCCAGAATTCAAAACTGAATCCCAGGCAGGTCAGTTTGTCTTCATATAATTAAATCAATGAGAGAAGCTAGGCAGGATAACTTAGATGATCTAAATCACAGTGTATTGTGATTGTACTATATTTTCAATATACAACTTTAATAAAGAAAAATGACATAAACTCTCAGCATATAAGCAGCTAACAAATACTGAAATCTAAAATTTTACCTAAATAGAATAAATACGTTTTAATTTGTTAGAAAAATCTATAATAGTGCCCCTATTCTCACAGGGTCTTCAATTTAATTATTAAGGAAAAATATACCCATTGAAAAATAAGAAACCAAGTAAATGTACATAAGTACATTTGCATCACTTCATTAGGTAAGTGGAAGGATAGGAAGGTTTTGGATAGCAAAATATTAAACAGATAAAGTAAAGGAAAGGATGAGAGCTGCAGGTTAAAAAACCATAAGGGGCTTAATGAAAAATAAGAGATAAACGCCATATGAACCATGAACCTGCAAATCCAGCAGTTTAGATAATATAAAATTACTGCAAAGTTCTGGGAAGAACAAAATGCTAAAAAACTCTGTTTAGAGAACATGACTAAGACAATGCTGTGTGAGATGATTGTGGAGGGGGAAGGATCAGAGGCTGAGTGGTGAGGAGTCAGTAACTTCTCTGTGTGAGATGACAACCTACTCTCCAAACTCCAACACACATGCATTCAAAGCTGATCTTAAACGTTTCCAAATTGGAAGAATATAACAGCCATGTAGAAGCTAAAGTCAGGGAAGGAAGCTGTGGCAGGGGACTTATGGTGGATAATGCTGGATATCTTAATTTTAAAGTTCTAGGATTGAAGGGCAGTTGCATCCCTGAACTACACAATTTTTGCAAAACAATTATTGTTTTCAAAAAGGTCAAGGTACTGGAAAAAAATAATAGCCTTTTAAGTGAAAGATGAGGCATAAAAGTAGAAGAATTAAATGAAGCCATAAAACAGAAGACAATGTAAAAAAGAACATCTGCCCAACTGCGCTGTGACAAGTTGGGACCTCAATGTTTGCCAGAGTTGGCTTGCAAGGAGATAGCCTATTCTAACCCATGGCTTCAAAGTTAGTATTCAACTGACAATGGAGGGACCTATTAATTTTAATAAATGTTATCTATAGGTGTCATTTTAAACTTTAATTCTATCTATTAATTCAGATCTTAAATACTATGCCAATCCTAAATGAATCATTTTAGGTATAAAGGAACATTAAACAAAGAGTTTATTTTTTCCTTTATGTTCCTGGCTTAATTTTTCTCTAAAATAAGAACCAAGTTTACCTGTCTCACTTTAGCAAAGCTCTGGCAAACTTTGAGAATGACAGTCCCAAAATATCTTCATACAAAGGATGATACCCTATTCCCACTATTAATGGCTTTGTGGAATATATCAGAAATTAAAAGATCTACATTGATTTAGGGTATAAACTTTCATATATGTATGAACTTTCATATATTCACATGAAGTATTTTCATTTCTCTACTTCAAAAATCTATTTATTTCCCCACTCCACCTCCAATCTTCTGTAATTTCGATGGGACTTTATTTCAGTTTTGTGAAATGGAGGTAAACTTGGATTTTTATGACCCTCAAACATGGCTTATAAAATGATTCTGTAGCATGGGTAGACCAGGACCTAAATGGCTGCCCATGTTAGACCCGTGCCTCTTAGTAAGTCTCAGCAATCTAGCCAATGTCTCACATTCATTTCATGCTCAGCCACCCCCTGCAAACAATCAGATGAACATTAAAGCTGTTAACTGATGGGTCAGGGATAGTAGGATTATATAATACACTAACCTTTCGGGAGGAAGGGGAGCGTTTATAAGGATTTTTCAAAGTCATGTTGGTTATGGAAGGAGGAAATGACTATGCCTGAAAAATCATGGGAAACCTTCACAAAGAAGGTAATGGGCATTAAACTATTTTTCAAATCATACTTAGCGCTGCTGGGGGTAGGGACGGGTTGTCACAGACATGAGTGTTGGGCCTGGCTATCAAACAGCTAGGAATCTTCTAAGCAAATGAAACTGAAAGGAAGGTTGAAGTTAGATTGTGATTTACCCTACAAGAAAAAAAGAATCCCAAATGTTTTTACTATGGTTTTAGAAAGCTAGCCAGAAAATAAGAATTAAACAGGTTAATTTAGAGATGGTGTCAGTGTGATCTCATTTTTATGAAAATACATGCTCTCACACAAGAAGAACACACCAAAATAAGGACAGAAGTTCTGAGTGGAAGGGTAACAGACACCAAAAAAAAATTTCCATCTGTATTTCCAATTTTAATTCAAGGAATACATTTCTGTCTAGTTAGAAAAAACAAACAAATATTATTTTTTAGAGTTTCTTAAGGGCGAAATCAACATGCTGCTAAACTGAAGGGAAGGAGAGCAATTCAATGTGATGAACAATGTGCATTCTTTTGGAAATTACAGTGCTTTTGTAACTTATCCTTTTCATGCTAGTGAAATTATAAAGCTTATTTTTAAAATTTGAACAATGGGTAACATTATGTTTTAAGAAGATATATTTTGCAGGAAAGATTAAAAAGAGGAGATTACTTAAACTGAGACTAACTGAAGGAAACGATAATAGCCAAGTTAAGAATATGTAGAAGGAAAAATCATCAGAACCCAGTAACGAAAGGATGAGGCCTGGGGAGGAGAAACAATCAAAGGTGACGATAGTTAAGAGTTATATAAAAGGAGATCACTTGGGGATTAGAGATGGAGATACATCATTATTTTAATAATCATTTAAGATACTAACAAATAATGACAAAGATAATTCAACAAAAGGGCAAAAGAAAGGGACAATAAAACTTAATTCCTACAACCAGCTCACTTTATGAAAATGCCAGAATTCCAGTATCATTTTGGATATCTTAACCAATTTAATCAAACATGGAAAAGCAACTCTCAAACACATACCATATCAGTGTGACTTACTAACATCTCAATGTAATAGGAAGATTTGTCTTTCAAAATTTAACCTATTTTTACTAATAATATTTAACCTATCAGGGTAGCTGAAGTACTCTGCTGTTTAACATAAAATACAATGAAATAATCTTTTGTAAACAAGAGAAAACTATTTAAAAACTGGCACTGAACAAGGATACTTGAATGACAGGAAATGATTTAAAGAAAAAAATTTAGAAGCCTTCCTTACCTATGTAGAGAACATTTAACCTGCTATAGCAAGAGCTTTATAATTTTATTATTCCAATCTCATGAATCATTGAAAGCTGAACACTTAACATTATTAATTTCATCAGACTTACCTCTTTACAAAATGTTCTAGGAACCATGATTTTCAGAATCCGTGAAAGTCTTGAAAGAAACACCTTGTCCACCATAGCTCGCTCTTTTTTCCCCTCTTTCTACATTAAAAAAAAAAAAAAGTTTTTAAGATGGCTATAATAAACGTACAACAAGACTGAAGAGCAAAGTGTACAGGGGGCCTTATGGACTGTAGTAGAAAACTGTGGGAGTCCTGGTGCTGAGTGAGGTGTGGTAACATATATCTGAAGAGGTGTTGTAAATCAATGTTACTGCAATAAAAAAAATAATATAATTTAAAATAGAGAGAAAGTAGTTTTGATGCCTTATGAGTATCTGGAAGAATACTGCAAATAACAGAAACAGCAAGTGCAAAATACCAAGGTAAGAGCCTCTTGAACATGCTGAGGAACAATAAAAAAGCCACTGGCTGGAGCAGTGAGCAAGGGATAGTAGCACATGTGGCCCAAGACAGGTAAAAGAGAGTCAAAGTAACAAAAAAATCACTTAAAAATATCAGCAGCTAACTTGTATGTAATTCTCCCTCTTTCATTTTCTCTATTTGTATTATCACTGCTCCTATTTTTTAAGCTGTCTGAAAGGTGACTTGACTTCACTACATTTCAATCTATAAAGGGACCTATATTCTTGCCACAATTAGTGTTTTCTGCAAAGAAAGCTGGGCTGGCCAGAAAGGCTGAGGAAATAACAGGGTGCTCTACCTTTCTTAAAATACAATAAAATCCATACCTGAAACCAATCTAAGTGAGAATGCTTGCAGAGACAGTGTATTTTACAAACACTAGTCTCTCCAAAAAAAAGTGTTTTAAATTCACAATTGACCTTCTCCACCTCTACCTTTCCCAGTCATTTTTTAATTAAAAAAAAAAACACTTGGTTGATAAAAATTTAACATGTTAATTACAGAAAAAGCAAATAAACCATTAGATAATGCAACCAGAAAAAAAATATCTACCTAACATTCAAGAGGTAATAAGGCTAAAGGGCAATGAGCAGTTCTTACTGATATGTCAATCAACTTAAAAAGGAAAGATGAACAAGAATTGACTGAAAAAGACAGATGTTTGAAACAGCACAGAAAATAAAAGGCCATATGGTTCTGACAAGAGTGTAAGTACTCCTGCATATTGTTGGGGAAAGTGTAAATTGGTATAAGTCATATGTAGCAAGTGTCAAAATGTAAAATGTACACTGACTGTAAAATGTAAAATAACCCAGAAAATTTACTTTTAGGAACTTATCCTATAGGTAATCCTGCAGATATGCTAGAATACATAAATGAAAAAAAAAAATTTACACATTGTTTATAATACCCTAAAATTAAAAACCTAAATTATATCAATAATAAGATATGCAATTTGAAAAAGGGAAGCTCATATTTATACAACAGATTTGAACAGTTAAATTAACAAGAGCTACCCCTACCCACCACAGATGGATCTTTAAAATATGCCTAAGAAAAAGAAAAATAATGCATAGAATGATTCAGTTTATTAAAATTTTCAACATATAAAATAATCCCACCTATATTGTTCATGGAGACATACAAACACATACCCCATATGTATAAAAACATGCCTGGGGATGGTGTAAATACCAAACCCAACAGTGTTTGCTGTCATACATTTTGAATTTTATACCATGTGTATTACAAGGAAATTAAGTATTTTAAAATCAAGTCAACTATTTTCTAGCTCTATGAAATCTTTTTCTACTTAAATCTCATTTTTATGAAAATTCTCACCCCACCAAATCCCACCAAAGATTAGAAAAAATTTCAGTGAAAAAAATTTCCCCCTTTAATTGCTTTCCTTCATAAATAACACATTCACTGTAGAAAAGTTAGAAAAGTCTAATGAGCAAAAACAGAGAACACGGCCTTCCATTTAGAGACACTAACTGCTAATTCAGCACACATGTACCGGATCTCATTTTAGCATATATGTGCCCATGTACAGCTGTACACAGCCTAAAAACTACACAAAGTGGTTATCAGTGTGCATACTGTCTTATATCCTTTACCGCAACTATTTAATCTAACTTAAACTTACTTTGTTTATACTATATAACTAGAAAATAAGAATATGCTAAAAAAAAAAAAAAAAAGAGGGGACCTCCCCGATGGCACAGCAGTTGAGCGCTGGGCTGCAAAGCTGCCCACAGCCTCTCCAGCACCAGTTCGATCCCCGGCCACAAGCAAGGGCCCCACATGGCACGCAGACCTCTCCTGCCGCACCCGCGGCTCCCCCCAACAGTGTACTTTGTCAGTCTGCCTGTTCTGCTCCCTGCTCTGGCTCTGGTGAATTCTCTCACCCTCCCACGCTTCTGACTGTACCCAGTGCTTGTATAAATAAATAAATAAATCTTTTTTAAAAAAGGGGGAGCAAAAAATAGAAAAACTTCAAAAAAAGTACATTAATTTAGCTGTACTGGTTAGTTTCAATGATGTCCTAAAACTTGTAGATATGATATAATGCAGAGTGGATATCACTAAGATAACTAAGATCTGATTACTAAAATATAATTTAGATGTGAGACATTCTAAACTTGTGGGTATGCCAGAAGACTAGAGATAAGTCTATCTTGTCTATTTTTCAAAGACTGGGGAAGAGCAATTATAGAAATTAAAGAATAGTGATTTTAATGTCAACCTGGAATATTCAGAGACTAGACAATATGGAGGATTTGGGAAACCTTAAGAATCACTAATCACTAGAAATCTGCATGGCTTTACTAGGAGTAAGTCATGTCCTAACTTTCTTCTTTGTTATCATACTGATATATTAGCTGACAAGTGAAAAGTATGCTACATGAGGGTAGGGACTGTTTTAGGATTGCTGTACACCCAGTGCCAAAAACAATGCCAGGCATTTTTGAGTGGGTTCACTTAATATTTACTGAAAGATGGACTTAAGTTAATCAAGAAATTTGATGCTTTGAATAAATTTATTATGGCCTTAATCGAGAGATAAGGAACAGATTTTGCTACAGTTGGATATCACAGTGAATAAACCATAGTCAACAAAAACAACCCACAAATTAAAAGATGCCACAGAATAATTTCCTTGACCCTTACCTAGTCAATGCCATCAGCAATTCTGAGGGGGGAAAGGCAGCAAATTGAATTTGTAGATAATACCTTCTTCCTAAATACTAGATGTTAGAATTGTATTTAAAATCACACTAATAGTAAAGACACTGGAATAAATCTAGTAAGTTGACATTTACAGGAATAAATTAATGTTTACTTAAAAGAAAACAATGGTGTTATCCTACGTCCCAGCAAACTTACTCCTAGGGACCATAAGAAATGAAAACTTAAGTCCACACAGTATTCATGGCAGCAATATTCAGCACAGCCAAAAAATGAAGTGACCTAAATATCCCTCCACTGATGAATGGATAAACAAAATGTGGTATATCTATACAACAGAATATTATTTGGAAATTAAAAAAAAAAAGACTAAATTCTGATATGTGCAACAACGTGAATGAACTTTGAAAAAATCATGCTACATGAAAGATATCAAACATAGACAGTCACCATATATTGAGAAATTCTATTTATATGAAATGTCCAAAACAGACAATTCTATAGACATAGAAAGCCAACTTAGTTGCCAGGGGTTAGGAGAAGAGGGCAGTGAAATGAAAGTTAATGGGTATGGGAGACAAAAAATTTCTAAAATTAGACAGTGGTGACAGTCACACAACTCTGCAAATAAGCTAAGAACCATTGAATTGTACACTTAAATGGATGGATTTTATGGCATATGAATTATATCTCAACAAAGTTAGTTTTAACTGATGAATACAGACTTGTCAATGGAGCTGTTTATCAGAAAGATATCTATCTGAAGGTTATAACTTACAATAAATTCCACTCAATGGAAACAACAGTTATGGCTTAAAAAAAAAAAAAGCAAAAGCAAATTTTAGGCTAAGTTTTAGCAAGATGATGTTTGTAGCAAGAGATGCAATAGTGCTGAGATTGTCCACGCTAGTCAGACCACATGTGGACGACTTATTCTAATCATAGCTCAAAAAACTAATGGCTGTGAGTCCAGAGGAATAGATACAGAATTGAAAAAAGATCAAAACATGTAAGAAACACTTAAAGAAATGAGAGTTACTTAACATGGGAGGGGAAAAAAACCTCAGAAGATACCTCTTCAAGCATTTGATAGTCTGCTAGAGAAAACAGAGTAGACTTGTCTATAATAGAATCATTCACCACAAAGCTAGAGGGTGGAAGCCTGAGCTCACAAGCTAGAACTAATACAGTTAACAGCTGCCGCCTAGAGTAAATAAATCTCCATCAAATGAACAGATTCAAGTAAATAACTAAAAGTCACCTAGTAAGGATTTCCATTTCAGAAAAAAAGGACTATAGTATGTATAAATTGGAGATCTTTAGGTTTCCTTTTAATTCTAAAATTCTATGATTCTATTCTAATTCAAAATCATAAAATAAAAGAAGTGCAAGTAATCCCAGAATAGATGATTTAAAATTTTACCTCACTCTGTAATGGCTGTTTTCCATTTTTCTTACTGTAGAGAAAAAGAAAAAGGAGAGAGATTTATTTGCAAACTATTTCATCATAAAAATTACTTTACGATAGCAATAGAACACACTAAATTCTCCAAGTGAGTTTCCACTTTCTTCATGGACAAAATATATTACATGAATAGTCTAGCTGTCTCTTACTATTATTTACACAGAATGTTCAATAAATGTTACCTACTACTATCAAACATCAGGCACTATGTTGGTAATTTTTACAGAGACTTATTTTACAAATTCCCTGGGAGAGATGGAATCTATTTTTCCATCCTTGAAATAAGGCCACTGGGATGTTAACAAATAAACATGAGCAAAGGCAAGAAAAATATTTGTACACTGGGCCATTTCCCTTACTGCTGAACCACGAGAGCAAGCCCAGGTTATTTGCCTAAAGGGTAAGACACGGTGTGCTCTTCCCATGTTACAACTGAAGAAACTAGCTTGGGAAAAAAGTAGCATGCCCAAGGTCCATGCTACTCACAATAGTTAATCTGGCATTTGAACCCACGTCTGACTACCAACTCAGGTTGCCTCCTTTAACAATACAATAACAAAGCATAAATACTTTTCATAACATACACTATCATGCCATACTGTGCTTCTATATGATAATTATCACATTTTTAATTGCTTGTTTGATGGATATTTCCTCCCAGTAAATTAATTCCATGAGATGAGGAGCTACTGCAAGTTGGCTTCTCCAAAGCAGATGGAAATTGGGGTATAAAATGTTTACTAGGGATCAACACCAATGAAAGGAAGGTTAAGACAAGTTTGGGCAGAATTTAAACTGTAATGCAGGCCCAACAAAATTTCAACCAGTCAGGTGGGAAGACCTGAAGCAAGTACTGTCTATCAAAATGCTTTGTGAGTGGCTGAAATGGCCGGGTCTTTACACCTCATCCTATTGCAGGCTGCAAATGCTGCCTCAGGGAGGTTATGCCCTTGAAGGAGGGGGCTCAGCAGATAAGGCAGCTCCTAAGGTGTGAGTAGAATGAGTTACTGCATTTGGCCCTCTTTGAAGGGGCATCTGGGTAGCAAGACTCCATGTCCCCTACGTGAGTCACATATTACTCAACCCTCTTTGGGCAACACCTAGTTGAGGTCCTGTTGGAGACCCCTAAGGCATGTAGCACTGAGACAAGACATCAAGGTCATGGCTATACAGATTGGGGTGTTCTTTCTTGTGTCTGCGAAACTAGAAATTAGTCTGGGGGACAAACTAGATTAGAAAAAGAAACAGAATAACCTGATTTCGCAGAACCTTGGCCGTGAATGTGTGCCCAGACAAGGCCAAATGCTAAGAGAATACTTTCATTGCCTTTTAATTAACCTGAGGGAGGGGGCTGCTTTTATCAATAAAAATGAGTTGCACCAGGCACTCAGGACACCTGAGCACCAATGAGAGGCCTTGCATACCCTGGCTCCCTCTTCTCTTAAACTCTATTTTGTGTCTGTCATTTCTTGATAATTTCCTCAGTTCAATCAGATTCTTCTCTCAACCTTGTTCACCGGAGCTGGACTCCGGCAAGGTCCAACATTCTGTAGAGTGCTATTAGTCTAAAAAGAGAAAAGCCATATGATCTTACCAATAGATAAAGAAAAAAAACCTTTAACAAAACCCAAACTTTGATCAAGCGAGGAATACAAAGGATCTTCTTCATTCTGACAAAGTATATCAATTAAAAACCTACAGCTATTCTGTCTGGAAGTTCCTCAGTCTACTAAAAATGGAGCTACCATATGACCTGGCAATTTCATTACTAGGGATCTACCCAAAGGACACAAAAACATTGATTCAAAAGAACATCTATACATCTATATTTATTGCAGCACGATTTACAATAGGTAAAACCTGGAAACAACCCAAATGCCCAAAAACAGATGACTGGATCAAGAAGATGTGACATATATACACAATAGAATATTATTCAGCAATCAAAAAGATAAACTCATGCCATTCACAGCAACTTTGGATGGAACGAGAAGGAATTATGCTCAGTGAAATAAGCCAGAAGGAAAAAGAAAAATATCGGATGGTTTCACTTATAGCAGAAATATAGGGGAACCAAACAAGACATCAGTGTAAAAAAATAGTAACAGTACAAAACACAGCAAAGCAAACACAGACAATTATAAATCAGAGACACACTGCAGGGGAGGAGGAGGGAGAGGGATCAGAGGGAGGGAGAGAGGAGCACAGGGGACTGAAGTGATGGTGCACAGGTGCACTGGTAAAGGAAACTCTATGGGGACTATACCTGAGGGGGTGGGGGGAGGCAAATATTGTTTAAAAATGAACAATGATGTAAAAAATAAAAAAAAAAAGAATCAAAAAAGAATCAATACTTAACAAAAATATCTTGGTTATTTATCAAGTTATTTATAAATTGACATATAATAAAATGTTTAAGGCATAAAAAAAAACCTACAGCTATTATTACAACTTATTATTGATGAAAGACTGAGTCTCTGTAAGATCTGAGTCTCTCTAACATGGCAGAGATGCCAACTCTTACCACCACTATTTAATATTCTTCCGAGAGGATACAAGTCAGAAAATAATGCAATAATCAGAAAAAAAGTGGCACACAGAATGGAAAGGAAGAAGTAAAATTCTTTATTCCAAACTTTATAAGCATCTAAGTAGACAATCCAAAGGAATCTACAAAAAAGCTAAGTGAGTTCAGCCAGGTTCCAGAATAAAATATCTATATAAACATCAGTTCTATTTCTATATACAAGCAAACTGCAATTGGAAATGGAAAATTTAAACATACCATTTACAAAAGCATCAGAGGTAAAAGATGTGCAAGACTTGTATGATTAAAAACTACAATGGACTGTAGAAAAATTTAAAGAGTAGGGAGATATAGCATGCTCATGGATCAGAAGACTCATTATTACTAAGATGTCAATTCTCACCAAATTGAATTAAAAATTCAATACAATCCCAGTCAAAATCCCATCAGGCTTTTTTTGTAGAGTAATGAGGAGCTGATTCTAAAATTGAAATGGAAATACAAAGGGCCTAGAAAAACCAAGAAATTTTGAAAAAGAACAAAGCTAAAGAAACTGTAACTGATTTCAAGGCTTATTATAAAACTAAGGTAATCAAGAGGATACACACACACACACACACACACACATCACTCCAACTGATTTAAGGCACTCTTCAGTGGGGAAGGATATTATTTTAATAAATGTTTTTTAATAAAAATTATTTTATTTTAATAAATGATAACCCCCCCAAAGTAACCTCAACCCTTACTACACATCATAGATTTTTAAAAAATTAACTTGAAATGGATCACAGACCTACATGTGAGAGCTAAAACTATGAAACTTGTAGAATAAAACATAAGGTCTTAGTAACCTTGAGTTAAACACCTATTTGTTAAACAGGGCACACAAAGCACAAACAATCCAAGAAAAAATTGTAAGTCAGACTTCACCAAAATTAAAAATGTTCAAAAGTACCATTAAGAATATTAAAAGAGAAGCCACCAACTAGAAAACATTTGCAAAACACATATTCCAAAAAAAAAAAAGTTGTAATCACAATATATAACAAACAGAGTTGAATAAGAAAATTAATTTAAAGATTTAAACACTTTGCCCCAAAAAAATGTACAGATGGAAAATGAACACAGGGTAAATGCTCAAAATCACTAGTTCTTAAGTAAACAAATTAAAATCAAAATGAGAAACCACTACACACATCCGCTAGAATATCTAAGAGTAAAAAGACTGATCATACGAAGTGTTACCAAGGATGTGGAACAACTAAAGTTTTCTTACACTGCTAATGGGAATATAAATAGTAAAATAATAAAATCACTTTAAAAAAGTTTAACAATTTCTTAAAAAGCTAACCACATATATACCTGCCATACAACTCATTCCTCCTACTACTATTTGCTCCAGAGCAATGATAGCATAAGTCCACACACAGACCTGCACACAAATGTTCAGAGCAGCTTCATGTTTTAGTAACCCAAACCTGGAAATAATCAAAATACCATCAGCATGTGGCTAGATTAAAACACTGTGGTATATTCATAAAATATACTTGATATTTTTTAAAATGCAAACTATTGATACATGCCACATGGATGAATTTCAAAATTATTCCTATTCAAAATAACTAAACGAAAATGTATGTAGTATATGATTTTGTTTGTGTGAAATTTTACAGCAGTCAAAACTAATCTGTAGTTACAGAAAGTAGTTGAAGGTAGAAAGCAGATCAGTTGTTTCAGGCTGGTGGCAGACAAAAGTGCATAAGGAACACTGGGGTGATGGAAATGTTCATTATCAGTATTGTGATGATTTCACAGGTGTTTTCATATAAAAACTCAGCAAGTTGTATACTTCAAATAGAAGCAATTTATTGTATATCAATAATGCTTCAGTGAAGCTGTAAAAAAAGATTTGACCAAAACCTAGGAGAGACTTCTTCCTAAGAACCTAACAGAATAGTACATTTCATCTGCTCTTTATTGTTGGAGGGGTGCAGGAGGGGGAGATGAGGTTAACTGTTCCTTAATACTGCCACCAAAACACATAAAATTAATAAACAGTAACTCCCTCTAAAGAAGGGAGGAAACAAAATAAAAGACTAGGGAAAAGAAATTAGGACAATATAACCAATATTAGAAATTAATCTGTAGATCAGAAGCAACCCTCATCAAAATCTCAACATCCAAATCCTAAAATTTCTATATAATTCCAATGCCAAGAGTTGATAACTGAGGTACATTTCGTTTTGTCTATACGATTCACTGTATTCATAAAATATATGATGCCCATAAGCATCTGTGAAAAAGTGAGCATTATTTACTTACAGTAAGTTAATAGGTTCATAATGACACTTAAGAAGAGGGTCACCTTGGGAGAACAATAGGGAATTAATGTATTGTTATAAAAACTGGTTAAGTTTTTTGCTTTCCTAACTGAATTGCACCATCAATGACCAAATAAAGAA